CCGCAGCGCTTGGCGATGAATTCGACAAGGGCGCAGTAGCAAAGGTAGAGCCTGGCTTGAGCCTGCGCCCAAAGCCCTGCAAGGCAGGGCACGCTGATGTGCTCGTGCCTTCGTAACCACTGCACCTGGAGACGCCGTGTCCTTCGGGGCTAAACAAATAACAGCCTGGCCCCCACCGGAAAAAAAAAGGCAGGTGCTGCGGCTCAAAAAAACTGTACCAAAATGGAACCCTGATAAGTGGAAACATGGACCAAAACCTGCGTAACCCCTCTTTTTTTAATTTTGAGCCACACCCAGGTGGCTTTAACAACATTGTAGTTTCAACCCGGATTGAAGGGGCTTCATCGCCCTGCCTCTGACAAATCAGCACTGCCTCCCTCAAAGCGACGGACACAAGGCCAGGGTGGGCCTTGCCCGAACAGTTCATGTAGCATTCCAGGGTGCTTTCGAGAGCGTGCGTCAGAAAACGCCTCTCTCGCTGCGAGAGCGCGCTCACATCCAGACTGTTGTCCTTTGCTTCGAACACCAGCATGTTTCCTTGGTGCTTCGACGCCTTGCTAAAAGTTGAGCTTTGGTGGCATACTCACTGGCTGAGTGGATGGCTCAAAAAAAGTCCAAACTTTATATTTACCACTAAAATGGTGTTCGCGGAAAATGTTTAAAGTTCATGAACTCAGGAAGTGAGTGTCTTCTCATCCCCAACTCTAAACTCTTAACATCTAAAAGTCTAAGCGCCAAGTTTCCAGAGCCCACACAAAGCCGGTAGAATGCCAGCAGTGCATAGTGCCAGCAATGCAGCTTCATGCCAGTCAGTGCTTTCAGGCGCAAAGGCCGAACGATGATATCGTTGATCCTAGTCTCAAGGAGCCCCCAGGATCAAAAGTTAAACTCTTGCAACGATCCGGATGCAGTATACACCTGAACATTGCAACCTGTAAATGGTGGCGTCCCGATATACTTGGGGGTTGAAAAAGCCACATGTTTCAAATGGATGCAACATGTATCTTTTAAGGAGCCCTGTGCAAGTTCAGTGCAACCGTCGTTGTCCAAAAGGTTGTATACAAGGTTTAGAGAGAGCCGAGGATCAAGGCTCGGAGCACATAGCACCAGAATACGAGATGGCTCACAATCACCACAGTGACCACTATCGCTTTGAAAGGGACACTTTTTAGGATGGCGGTCACAAGTGAAGGTGAGTCCCCATCAATTCCAGAGGCCTCCTCAAAGAGGGATACGCCGAGAAGTGTGACCACCAAGCACCACAAGTTCAAGAGCTCCAGCTTGTCCAACACTCTGTACTCGCGATTGTCAAAGGGATCCAGGCGCAAATGATCAATGAAGAAGTACATCCCCAGGCACAGCATGATGGTTGAGCGCACCGTCTGCTGGGGTAAGCTCGCTGCCAGCAGGATGGAGAACTTCCGGAGCATGTACACGCACCTGGGCCGAACTCTCTTGAACCTGTTGCGGAAGGGAAACCGAAGGACACCCCCAAAAACACAGAACAGCTTCGAAGGGGAAAAAGGTTAGGTCTGGCAGAGACACTCGAAGTGATACGACTTCAGCTGAAATCCGTTGTACAAAAACCCGAGCTTCCGCCGGGTCGAAGGCATCATGAGCCGGTGCCGCCGACGATAGAGGAGCCAGAAGAAGACCGCGGGGATTCCCAGGCCGTACAAAAAGAGTCCAGAGATGCAGAGGGCGAAGATCTGCGCGTGCTCTGGACCTTTGGCAGTGAAGCCTAAATCAAGTTCCAGGGGTCACCCCCCCCCTCCAATGCAATTGCATGTTTAAAGGGGTGGCGACTTTCCATCTTCTGCAGCAGTTCCCTGCTTGTCGTCTGCTGCAATCACTGCTGAATCGTGACTTGGTACCATGCCACACATGTCACACATGTCACACATGTCACACATTCGCGCATGACACATACACGCATGCCACACGCACACCTTTGATTGCGCTCCAAATGCGCCGGACTCAGCCAGGCACTGAAGCAAACGATGTCCAGATTCACGTTCAGGCGCAGCGTGTCAAACTCTTGGCAAATGGTGCCCTGCCATTCCATGGAGTCAAGAGCAGGCGACAGCAGTCTACCCCACCGTGTAACAAATGGAAACACCGTGGGATATTTACGCAACCACTTCTAGGCCCGGCCATGCCCGACCCCCCCGGTGAAAAAACCTCCATCTACCCATTCACCAAACCAAGTGTGTGCGCTGCATGCGCCTTCAGCAATGCCTGTATGATGATAGGGTACAGCACAAAGGCCCACACCACGGAGGACTGAACAATCGACAAGCGGAACTCCTTCCACTGCTTGATCCTAGGCATCAGTGATGGAGCAAGCCAATCGCAAGATCTGGTTTGGAACGCCTTAAATGGCTGTGGGTCAAAAATAGATACCCAAAATGGAAATGGACACATGGACTAAAACCTGCGGTCCCCTGGTGGTTTAATTTTGACCCACACCCATCCGGTTTGGAACCCCTTATATTATGATGCTTGTGTGAACACCCGAAGAAAACCAACCTGAAGGTCGCTGAAACCAAAAGGAAGCTGACCACCGTGAAGCCTAAAAAATCCCTAGTTTTGACAAACACACCCTGCAAAACCCAAGGGGTCTTCCAAAAGATTGGATGGAGCTCATCGTGCTGGCTGGGCAATACGTCTACCATCCTATGCTTGTCAAGGCGCTGCAATAGGGCACCCCTAATCCCAATAGGGGCTAATGGCGCCTAAGCCCTATCGGAGGCCCCCCCTGTAACCAATAAACCTTATGGTTTCAACCATGGTTTCATTTCGTGGTGCGGTCTCGGATGTTGCAGCCATCCACAGTATGAACATCAAGTCTGCAGCTGAGGCATCGGCTCCTCTGCGGTGTGTTCCTTGCTTGCAAGTCCGGCAGAGGGACTCACCTCTGCGTAACTGCTCTCCAAGCTTTCCTGCGCAGCCCAAAAACGCGCCTCCTTTCGAAAGGGGTCTCGAATTTCAGTGTCACAGTGGGAGGGGGAACCTTTTTTTTCAACCCTCCGAACCCTTTTTTTCAACCCTTCCCTTTTTTTCTACCCCTCAAACCTTTTTAACCCAAGTGAAACAAGCCAAGGGAACCGGCCCCCCAAGAGGGCTTCTCAGCGGCAAAAGCTGATGCCCACCACACCCACGTCTCAGTTGCCCAGTTCGGACCCAGAAATACAAAGGCTAACCTTTTGGGGCCATGACTAAAAAACTGACCCAAAAGCGGAAACCAAATGGTCCAAAGGTTGGCTTTGGGCAAGTGAGAGGGTCATGGGGGACCCGAAATGGTGGACTTGGTGGAGATCAAAGTTTGGTGGAAACTTGTGTCCACCCACAGGCCAACCATCAAAATGAAAGGCATCGACTCACGTCTCGCTTTTTTCCCATGGCTCTAGACCTCTGACCATGTCCAAGCTGGGATTCCTTTCACTCACCCTTGGCTGATTCGCAACATGTCCAGAGTTTGAAGTGAAAAAACATCGGGAAGTGAGCCGTCCCTGAAAGACCATCCCGGAGGGAAGCTCATGTGAACGAGGCAGATGTGCAGACCAATGAAAGGGGAACAACATTGGGAGGACCTCAAAAGATGTGGTTGTTCTCTAGGTTGCCCAAAAACTAACCCAAAGGAAGAACGAAGTAACGAATGAAAGGAATGAAAAAGAGAAAGGACGAAAGAAAGAGACAACGAAAGAAAAAGAGAAAAAGAAAGAAAGAAAGAACCAAAGAAAGAAAGAAAGAAAGAAAGAACCAAAGAAGGAAAGAAACAAAGAACAAAAGAAAGAAAGAAAGAAAGAAAGAAAGAAAGAAAGAAAGGAAAACGAAGAAACAAAAGGAAGAAAAAAAAGAAAGAAAGAAAGAAAAAAAGAAAGAAAGAAAGAAAGAAATAACAAAAGAAAAGTATAAATGAATAAACAAAGGACAACATACATACACAAAGAAAGCCATACACAAACACGCAAGCAGCAAGCAGGTCAAGGAAAGACATAAACAAACACGCAAGCAAGCAAGCAGGCAGGCAAGCAAACACACACACACACACACACCACCAAACAAACAAGCAAACAAGCACACAAGCACACAAGCAAACAAGCACACAAGCACACAAGCAAACAAGCAAACACACAAACAAGCAAACAAGCAAACAAGCAAACAAGCACACAAGCAAACAAGCAAACAAACAAGCAAACAAGCAAACAAGCACACAAGCACACAAGCAAGCAAACAAGCAAACAAGCAAACAAGAACACAAACAAGCACACAAGCACACAAACAAACAAGCAAACAAGCAAACAAGCAAGCAAGCAAACAAACAAACAAACAAGCAAACAAGCAAACAAGAACACAAGCAAACAAGCACACAAGCACACAAGCAAACAAGCAAACAAGCAAACAAACAAACAAACAAACAAGCAAACAAGCACACAAGCACACAAGCACACAAGCACACCAGCAAACAAGCAAGCAAGCAAGCAAGCAAACAAACAAACAAGCAAACAAGCAAACAAGCACACAAGCAAACAAGCAAACAAGCAAGCAAGCAAACAAACAAACCAGCAAACAAGCAAACAAGCACACAAGCAAACAAGCACACAAGCAAACAAGCAAACAAGCAAACAAGCAAGCAAACAAACAAGCAAACAAGCAAACAAGCACACAACACACAAGCACACCAGCAAACAAGCAAACAGACACACACACACCACCAAACAAACAAACAAGCAAACAAGCAAACAAGCAAACAAGCAAACAAGCAAGCAAGCAAACAAACGAGCAAACAAGCAAACAAGAACACAAACAAGCACACAAGCACACAAACAAACAAGCAAACAAGCAAACAAGCAAACAAGCAAACAAGCAAACAAGCACACAAGCAAACAAGCAAACAAACAAACAAGCAAACAAACAAACAAGCACACAAGCAAACAAGCACACAAGCAAACAAGCAAACAAACAAACAAGCAAACAAACAAACAAGCAAACAAGCACACAAGCACACAAGCAAACAAGCAAACAAACAAACAAGCACACAAGCAAACAAGCACACAAGCAAACAAGCACACAAGCAAACAAGAAAACAAACAAACAAGCAAACAAACAAACAAGCACACAAGCAAACAAGCACACAAGCAAACAAGCAAACAAACAAACAAGCAAACAAACAAACAAGCAAACAAGCAACACAAGCAAACAAGCAAACAAGCAAACAAACAAACAAGCACACAAGCAAACAAGCACACAAGCAAACAAGCACACAAGCAAACAAGCAAACAAACAAACAAGCAAACAAACAAACAAGCACACAAGCAAACAAGCACACAAGCAAACAAGCAAACAAACAAACAAGCAAACAAACAAACAAACAAACAAAACAAACAAGCAAACAAGCAAACAAACAAACAAGCAACAAAAGCAAACAAGCAAACAAACAAACAAGCACACAAGCAAACAAGCACACAAGCAAACAAGCAAGCAAGCAAGCAAGCAAACAAACAAACAAGCACACAAGCAAACAAGCACACAAGCAAACAAGCAAACAAGCAAACAAGCAAACAAGCAAACAAGCACACAAGCACACAAGCAAGCAAACAAGCAAACAAGCAAACAAGAACACAAACAAGCACACAAGCACACAAACAAACAAGCAAACAAGCAAACAAGCAAGCAAACAAACAAACAAACAAACAAGCAAACAAGCAAACAAGCAAGCAAGCAAACAAACAAACAAGCAAACAAGCAAACAAGCAAACAAGCAAACAAGCACACAAGCAAACAAGCAAACAAGCAAGCAAGCAAACAAACATACAAGCAAACAAGCAAACAAGAACACAAGCAAACAAGCACACAAGCAAACAAGCAAACAAGCACACAAGCAAACAAGCAAACAAGCACACAAGCAAAAAAGCAAACAAACAAACAAGCAAACAAACAAACAAGCACACAAGCAAACAAGCACACAAGCAAACAAGCAAACAAACAAACAAGCAAACAAACAAACAAGCAAACAAGCAAACAAGCAAATAAACAAACAAGCAAACAAACAAACAAGCAAACAAGCACACAAGCAAACAAGCACACAAGCAAACAAGCAAACAAACAAACAAGCAAACAAACAAACAAGCACACAAGCAAACAAGCACACAAGCAAACAAGCAAACAAACAAACAAGCAAACATCCAAACAAGCAAACAAGCAAACAAGCAAACAAACAAACAAGCAAACAAACAAACAAGCACACAAGAAAACAAGCACACAAGCAAACAAGCAAACAAGCACACAAGCAAACAAGCACACCAGCAAACAAGCAAACAAGCAAACAAGAACACAAGCAAACAAGCACACAAGCAAACAAGCACACAAACAAACAAGCAAACAAACAAACAAGCAAACAAGCAAACAAGCAAACAAACAAACAAGCAAACAAACAAACAAGCACACAAGCAAACAAGCAAACAAGCAAACAAACAAACAAGCAAACAAACAAGCACACAAGCAAACAAGCACACAAGCAAACAAGCAAACAAGCACACAAGCAAACAAGCAAACAAACAAACAAGCAAACAAACAAACAAGCACACAAGCAAACAAGCACACAAGTAAACAAGCAAACAAACAAACAAGCAAACAAACAAACAAGCAAACAAGCAAACAAGCAAACAAACAAACAAGCAAACAAACAAACAAGCACACAAGCAAACAAACAAACACGCACACAAGCAAACAAGCACACAAGCAAACAAGCAAACAAGCACACAAGCAAACAAGCAAACAAACAAACAAGCAAACAAACAAACAAGCACACAAGCAAACAAGCACACAAGCAAACAAGCAAACAAACAAACAAGCAAAGAAACAAACAAGCAAACAAGCAAACAAGCAAATAAACAAACAAGCAAACAAACAAACAAGCACACAAGCAAACAAGCACACAAGCAAACAAGCAAACAAGCACACAAGCAAACAAGCAAACAAGCAAACAAACAAACAAACAAACAAGCAAACAAACAAACAAGCAAACAAGCACACAAGCACACAAACAAACAAGCAAACAAACAAACAAGCACACAAGAAAACAAGCACACAAGCAAACAAGCAAACAAACAAACAAGCAAACAAACAAACAAGCAAACAAGCAAACAAGCAAATAAACAAACAAGCAAACAAACAAACAAGCAAACAAGCACACAAGCAAACAAGCACACAAGCAAACAAGCAAACAAACAAACAAGCAAACAAACAAACAAGCACACAAGCAAACAAGCACACAAGCAAACAAGCAAACAAACAAACAAGCAAACAACCAAACAAGCAAACAAGCAAACAAGCAAACAAACAAACAAGCAAACAAACAAACAAGCACACAAGAAAACAAGCACACAAGCAAACAAGCAAACAAACAAACAAACAAACCCACACACGCAAACACACAAGCAAACACACTTATCACTGGACCTCTTTTGGTCCCACGCACCTGGAGGGTCTCAGAAGATTGTGAGCTCTGCGAGGAGAGCATGGAATCCTTCCTGGGCATCAGCTCATCTTCCGGAACGTGCCTGGCATTCCCAAAATGGGTCGGAACCAATAAGTTGATTAGTGGGAGCACAAGGGGCATGTTTCTTTGTTGACTAGTGGGGAAAACACACATGTTCCAAAAAAGTGAAAGGTTCTGGGTGAACTATAATATTTCAACCTGAAACTTACGGTGGTTGGGGGGCTATTCCCCACATAAACCACCATTAATTCGGTCGTGTGAGGTCGTTATAATTCACCCAGCTGGTATTCCAAAGATGGGTCGGCCGCAGCGTCCTTTTAGTAATTACCTTCTTTGGCTTAGGCAAATATCCAGGAATCGAACACCAACCACCCCCGTTGGTTTAAGCCCAATTTGGGGTAGTCCAAAAATGGAACCCTGTGGTTGCTCCTTTCTGTGATGCTGCGGATGGACAATGTCCACAAAACGCACCAGATAGCAGGTGTTTTTTCCCCAGTCACACCTCTTCATCCATCCCAACTGGTGCTGGATTTTGTCCATCAACAGTGCCAAACAGATTTCATTTCCACATGACATTGTCAACTTGAAGAGAGTTCCCTTGGTATCACACAAACTGGCCCTAACAATCGAGCTCATCTTCCAGGACGTGTGTTGGGTCGAGCGCTCCAAGCCCCTGTTTAAACACGAGTCTTCCAAGGCCCCCCCAACAATGGCTGTCAGATGGTCCTCCAAAATAGCCCAACCGAGGTCACTCAACAAACTATTGGATAGCGGGGGGGTTGGGGGGTTGTTTGGGTTTGTGACAAAATTGGGGGAACCCAGGACCCTTTTCACCAACCCTGCCTGGTCGCAGATGTCCAGTTCCAGCTGTGGTCATCGAACTGACGGAGCCGTTCCAAGATCCGCTGATTTCGCTTGATGCGGCAGATGAGAATCACATTCCTCGGAGAACAAGCGAAACCAGGATACAGTACCTTTGGGGGCTGTCGAATTGCTCTCAAAATCAAAAAAATGCCAAGAAGGTCGCTGGGCGCAGCAAAGGTTCCGCACGACGCAAAACAGGATATTGGTCAGGAGAGCTACCGGCAGAAGCAGGATCGTCACATTCATCTGGGCTCGGAAGAGATCCCAGGCAGACTGATGCTCAAGCAAGCAGTCGTAGCTGATGAAAATTTGGCCTGACAAGCTCAGCTGCTCTGGACAACTCAGCTATGCTTGCGGAAAATGAGTCTGTCCGATGCTGAAGTGGCAATCTCGTCCCAATGACAGTCACTGTGCAGGGGCTTAGCTTCTTGCATGTGGTCATCCTACTTAGTAGGTTGAATCCCTGGCTTCCCACCAACCAACTCCCGTATAACCTGCTACGTAGTTTGAACATCCAGGTTGGCATCACACAAAGTGGCAACCCAGACAACCCAAAACCACCCATTTCACCAATCATGCCCCTGAATGGTTGTTCCTCGAGGGAGCCCATCAAAATGGTGGCAATCCTTTTGCCTTCCCTGTTGATCCCTAAAAAAGACCCCCCCCTCCCCGCCCCTCCCGACGCTGCTCCGCACCTTCCCAACAAAAAATACATTGCAAGATGCCGGACCCTTCTGATGTTTCATGATGCGTCCAGGCTGCCCAAACAAGATTCGTCAGAGATTTACTTGCTTGAAAAACCAACTAGGTGCGCTCTTTGCCATCCCCTCCCCCTCCTCCCCGGGCCCCTGGCCCCGCCTTGCTCCGCAGGAGTGGATTCCTGGAGCTCGTTCCAAATCTGGGACCAAAAGCCCGTGCCCTGTAGCGCCACCTGAAAACAAGAGCGCGCATAGTGATCCCACCCGTACCTGCCCGAACTGTCTGTGAAAGCTTCAGGCAAAACTGTTCGCCCAACTCGGGAGCTTTGATTTGACACTTACCCATGACATGACCTGCTAAACACAACAACGCGATGCAAGCCATGGAGGATAGGAGCCCAAACACAGGTCAAGGGATTGGGCCAGAGATCAAAAGAAACTTAGACTTTAGCCAGCGTTTGTCCTTGAGACACTCCGATTTCCCACAGATCCTCTTGAACAAGGGATTGTACTAAGGTACCAACAACACAAGTGCGAAGCAAACGCAGAGAGGAGAAATGGTGGCATCTAAACCATGTTTGCACATCTAAGCTGTCTGAAGAGCTGGTCAAGACTCCAGGCATGCCTTGGTCTCGTGTTTTCTGTAGTGAAACGACGTAGTGAAACGAGCCCGGACAAAAGCGCGAGGCTGCGTGCTGGACTGGTACGAGTATCTTACGGGATTTCTCCGACCACTGTCACCACTCTCCCTTCTCGTCCGCTGTCCAGCGAGGCATGCACCAAAAGTTGAAGCAGTTGGACAGGACGCCCTTGTCAAATGGATTCTTTGTCCGATCATACACAACAAAGGCATCCTGGTCAAACAAGTGGTTGTACCCATCACCATCCACCTGTTCCACTGGTACATCCTCACCGAGGCTGGAGTCGTTCGCCACATAGTTCTGCTGCTTCTTCCACTCCTGCGCTGTCTCGTTCCTGGAGATTAACGCTGCATGTATCGTGAGCATCGGGGCCTCAATGGCCAGCAACCAGAATAATTAGGCTAAACGCAGCGCAACAAGGATCTTGCTCTGCAACACACTTACCTTGGCAACGAGGACTGCCCAGGAAGGAGACCATGGTCAAGCCCATCAGCATCGTCACAAACTCTCTGTGGCTAGAAGACCGATCGAATTCTTGAGCCACTTGCAGTAGCGAGTAGTGGCCGTATCGACGGATGGGCCTGGGATACTGCCACGACTTGTGCATGCGCCTTGGCATGCCCTACGTCCATTCCCAGCCACGCGCTCTGCGTCCCCTTGACTCGACCGGGATCCGCAAAGCGCAGTACGTCATGCACCCCAGTGCGACAGCATAGAGTGCAAAAACAGCTGCAGCAAGCACAGCTTGCGAAGTCAATGTGATTCGGCTGAGAATTGGAATTCGCCCGGTCAGCATGCACACGGCTCCAACAATCGTTGACGATGCAAGGGCTGCTGGCAAAATATGTTTGAAATCGATGCCTCAGAATGTGTACTCCAAGCTGGGGCCCTGGCCTTCCACATCATCTCTTCAACCTGCACGCCTTCTTCACAAGACTCCTGAGTGTTTGACGTCGGCCTGACCGCAGTCAGAATGTTTGGCAGTTGACTGCCGTCGGTCAACGTTGCAACCTTGCGAACGCAGGGAGGGGTAGGAGGCTCCATGAGCGAAAGGCCATGGGCATACATCGGCAGCATTTTGACTCCTTGACAAGAATGACTTCTCATGCTTGGCTCTATGATTGCCGCTGCGGCAAGCACCCACTACTTGCTTTCCCTTGAACCAGTGATTTTGACATATTTACGCTGTGTTGGGAGCTGCGCCAGAGCCTCTTCTGCAATTGCCTCCAATTAATGATTCTTGTGTCATGACATACCACCTTCAGCTTGTTAGGTTCAGCAACAGTTCAAAAACAACTCAGGACCAAATAACACACATGGACGTGGCCAGTGCTCTTCACCAGCGTCTCCAAACAAGGATTTTACTCTGCATCCCCACCTCAATCTTGGAAAGTGTGGGGGCCTTCCATCATTTCCCTTGTTCCTATGGATGTCAAGGGGCACCACCTCGGCCCCCAATGTCAACAAAGACTAATGGTGACTAAGGCCTATTGGCGGCTAATTCTCCTTTGGAGGGGTCCCCATCTTTGGGCCCTGGACATCCTTGTCCCGACTTGTACACAGGAAAGGAAAACACGCTTCCAGAAGTGTACCCCTGTACCCCCCCCCCCCCCCGCCTCCTATGCACTCTGGGCATGGTAAAGGGTGGGGCTACACCCATGTTTTGCAGCCATTGTTCGACAAACGTTTGCCTGTTTTCGTTGAAAGGAGATCAGATTCTGGTTGTTCAAACAACCAATTTTGCCACGAGCCCTAGTGGGCTTGACCCTTTCCACGTATGCCTTGGATACATTCATTGGGTCCCGCACCTTCCATGACTTACTTCGTAAACATGGAGGTTCTACATCTTGGCAAAAACAGTGTTGAGGGCACCCGCCCAGGTGTTTTCCCTTGCAAAAAACACTTCAATCAGTGCGCTTGAGGGGATTGTTCCTGAAGGTGCTGGACTCGCCGTGCCTGGGCGAACACGATGTAGTTGATGACGATCTTCAGGATGATGGACTGCAGGTGCCGCACCGACAACGCAGAGGCAATGGTGGCACGAAAGACCACCCCCGCATACAGCACGCAGCCCATGATCAGCACAACCTGTCGGGAAAAGAAAACCCCAAATGGGTGTGGCTCGAAATAGGGGAACCCACCAAAAGGTGTGGTCCTGTGTGGTTGGCCCTTTTGGTTTCCCTTCAAAGCAAACGTACAAAGCTTCTCCTCAACAAACACAAACAAAGAACAGCTGTTGAGGTCTTTGGACGATACGTGAAAGATTCAACGTAATGATATCTTCAAAACTACTCAGGCTACATGGGGAGGGGGGAGGGGGGCTTAAAGGGCAACCACCCAAATATTTGTCCACTCCGGCAACTCACAAAGAGTAAACTTTGGGAATGAAAAACACCTTTGCTTGCGGTCAGTGTCAAGCTGTTTTGTGCTTCTCTACTATGCTCCAGCGGGTCAACAAATGAGGATGTCTCAAAACAGGGTAACCCCCCCAAAAAGAAAGAGGTTTCCGTAAGGTTTGCCATGGTTTCCCTTTCCAAAAGGGGTGCCCTCCAAAAACAAGAGCAACCAAGAAGCCACCAGGGTGATGTTGATCTCTGGTGGCGGGCACTCCAGGCAGTGACCTGATGGCAATCGAAACTCCTGCTGGTGAGATGCCTCTCTTGGGGGAACCCATGCCAACTTGCAGGGGAGAATTTACACTTTCAACAACCATGGTAGATGCCAGGAAGGTGTTGCTTGAGAGGGCCTGTCGGCCTGTCCACTCCGTGCTTCTTGGGAGGGTAGTGTTTCCTGGGAGGATAGCCGACGTTTCCCCCCTACCAAATGCGGGCAAAACCTGCCAGCTGTTCAGCCACCTGGCTGTTGAAAGTGTGAATCCGCTGCAAATTGACATGGGTTCCATCAAGAGAGGGCTCTGGCTGTAGCTCAAAAACATGTACCAACATGGCCAATTGGTATACCTTGGTAAGTGGAACCAAAGGCTAAAGCCTGCGTGGCCCTAGCTCTCTATCTTTTTGAGCACCCATCTCACCCGACCTTTCCCCTTTACGGGCGCTTTAGGCGACTCTGAAGCGATTCCTGCTGAGTCACCCCTGCCAGTGCCGATGTTCAGTGACCGCTGGTTCCTGGGCATCGATCGGACGATCGGCGACGCCGCGGCCCCGGGACCCTGGTGGCGGGCAAGGGAAAACGACGGAAATACTGTGGATCCTCCGGTGCAACCATGGGTACTAGCCGCTTTCCGGTTGATTTTCCCTACAAACACGACCTGAAAAGGGTACTTTCAAGGGACCAAGGGGCGGCCAAACAAAGTCAACTGCGGATGGTTGCGAAATCAATTTCGCACCACCGAATAAACTCTGGAATGAGTCCATCCCCCCTGTAAATACCGACGAACCATGGCTTCTCATGGTTTCAAAATAGTGCAGGTGTTTGTCCATCCACAGCACGTCCTACGAATGAGGCGATCCATGTTTCCCCAAACGTCTCGTATACCGTTGTTTGTTGCTTGCAAAGAGGAACCATGAGCCATGCAGTAACCCTCAGGGTCCAAGTACCGTGTAAGGAGCTACCTCAATTCCCCTTAACCGAAAACAGCCGTCCTCAACGGGTACCTGGACCCTCTGGGTAAGCCGAGTTGCGTAGTGCCCGGCAAGCACTGCTCGCAGAGTGTGCCGGTGTTGCTCCCAGCGCACTGGTTGCCTCCCAGACAAATCGAGGCGGGTCGGCAGGGTTGAAAGTTCCACGGCATCAGCTCGTCACCAGACCTCAGGATTCATATGAGGGTGTGACGGTGTTTTTTCTTCCTTTTCTGTTTATTGGGGCACCTCCCAACATGCTGTTTTCGTTGCCTTTTAGTTTCGTTTTAGAACCAACCCAAAGAGGGTACCCTCAAAGGCAGACCCATATAGGGGTTCCTCGAAATGGGGGACACCCCTTGAGTGGTTTGCAACTCTATGGTAATATGGGTGTTCTTTGCCGGCACCCTCTTTGGCGTTGGATTAAAGGTAAACCAAAAGGAAAACAACCTGCTTTGGGGCCCGGTTCCCCTATTTTGACTCACACTCACGCACACCCTCAAAAGAGACGTCTCACATCCTTTGTTACATCCCGCAAGTGGGAAGAATTCCCTTGCCCAAAATAATCCTGTTAGCAACCAAAGCCCTAATCTAACGAGAAACCAACAGCTGCTCTGTTGATTGCGGCCCGGCCGTACTCAATACCGATCGGTATTCAAATGGTCGGAACCCAGGACCATGCTTCAACAAGTAAAAAGGCGGATATAAGCACCCATTGGCAGATTCTCCCTCTCTAACCTGGCTGTCGGATGGCTGGGAATTACCAAGTGAGTCCCGATCAAAACCAGATATTAAAATGGTCTACCCAGAACCATGTCAAGAATTACAAAGGCGGCAGCCAGTTCTGGCTGGGATAATTTACCCGAGTTTTGATTGTGGCTCAAGTCAAGTTGCCTTCATCTGCCGAATCGGTTTTGAGCCAGTGGCTCACCTCTTCGAGGAAACCCAAGGCCTCCCCCAGGAAGGCTCAGGAAGGGGGTCTGATCAAAGGGTTCTGCAAACTTGTTTGCCAAACACAGAACAACCAATAACAATAAACAGTCAAACAAGAGGAACCCGGGAATCACACTCACATTCACACCCACACACACCCACACACCCACATCCACAAACGCACAAGAACAAACACACCCACACACCCACATCCACAAACGCACAAGCACAAACACAAACACACACCCACACGCACACACGCACAAACGCACACACACACATCCACAAACGCACACACACACACAAACACACAAACACACAAACAAACAAACACACACACACAACAAACACAAACACACACCCACACGCACACACGCACAAACGCACACACACATCCACAAACGCACACACACACACACAAACACACAAACACACAAACACACAAACAAACAAACACACACACACATCCACACGCACACACAGACACACAACACACAACACACACCCACATCCACAAACGCACAAACACAAACACAAACACACACACACACATCCACAAACGCACACACATCCACACGCACAAACACACACACACACACACACCCACACACACCCACATCCACAAACGCACAAACACAAACACAAACACACACACACGCACATCCACAAACGCACAAACACAAACACACACACACACATCCACAAACGCACAAACACAAACACACACACACACACCCACACACACCCACATCCACAAACGCACAAACACAAACACAAACACACACACACGCACATCCACAAACGCACAAACACAAACACACACACACACATCCACAAACGCACAAACACAAACACACACACACACACCCACACACACCCACATCCACAAACGCACAAACACAAACACAAACACACACACACGCACATCCACAAACGCACAAACACAAACACACACACACACATCCACAAACGCACAAACACAAACACACACACACACACACACACACACCTACACCCACACCCACGGGACCCACGGGACCCACACCCACACCCACACCCACACCCACACACGCACACGCACACGCACACAAACACGCACACAAACACAAACACACACAAACACCCACACACACACACACACACCCATACACCCACATCCACACCCACACACACACAAACAAACAAACACACAAACTAACACACAAGCACACAAACACAGACACACACAGACACACGCACACACAGACACACACAGACACACACGACACACACAGACACACACAGACACACACGACGCACACAGACACACACACACAGACACACAGACAGACAAACACAGACACATAGACACACAACACACACACAAACACACAAACACACAAACACACAAACACACTAACACACAAACAAACACGCATACACACACAGACACATACATACACATTGCACACACACACACATACGCACATACGCACATACAAACATAAACACAGACACACAAACAAACAAGCAAGCAAGCAAACAAACAAACAAACAAACAAACAAACAAACAAACAAACAAACAAACAAACACACAAACACACATATACGCGCGCACACACACACACACATACACGCCTGCACAGCTACTCGCACACACGCATATACACAAACCAATGGTTTAACAGCAATCATTGTAATGCCACACACACAAACACATAGCCATGATATTGATACACGATACGATTGATATCATGCTAATCATTCTTTGGCCCGAAATGAAGAAGGGGTGACTTTGCCCATGTGGCGAACGTCATTTTTTGTGTTCGAGGGGGACCTCCGACGTTTGCCGGGGCACCAGGGCATCCGGTAGAATCCTGGGAGCGCGTCTGGGCTGGCGGTGCCCAGGTGGTTACAGTCCGCGCCCCTGGCGATTGGAATCCCGGGGTAGGTGCATGGGCATCTTCAGGGATCCCTCGAAATACTTATGGTTCCCTTAGGGTTCCTTCAGGTTCCTTCGGGTTCCTTCAGGTTCCTTCAGGTTCCTTCGGGTTCCCTCAGGGTTCCTTCAGGTTCCTTCGGGTTCCTTCGGGTTCCTGCGGGATGTTTAGGGTTAGGGATCCCTAGAAACTTTTGGGGGTTCCTGGACTTAGGGAGTCTTAGGGAAGGCCCCCTTGGACCACCCCTCCAAAATCCCTAGGAAGCCTAGGGAGTTGATATATAGCAAGGCGCTATAGGTGTTTTTAACCGGGGGGTCTACCATTTCATAACACTGGGTGTCTGGGTAATGGGTGCCTGACCCTTTGGTGCACATCACGTAGGCGGGATTCATGTCCAGCAACTTTTGACCGGTTCCATACAACCAATAGGTAGTTCAAAGAGTTTCCACTGTGGCTGAAACGGGGTGCCGAAAAAAGGGGCATTTCGGCCTGCTTTACCAGGAGACCCTCTAAATCAACCGGAGATGACTTTTTCCTTCAAGGAGCCCTGTTAAACAGAACAGGGCTTCCTATATTGCTCCCTTTAAACATCACCCCAAGAGACAACCTGCCTCAAATCAAGCCGAACAAGTGAATTTGGGGGTTTAAATAATTAAGAACCTGGAATCTTTTTGTGGCGCTTTTCAAAAATGGGTGGATGGCCCAGCCCATTTGGCCCGCACGCCTGGGGCAGGGCCGACAATACGCTGCCCCCGGCGCCGAGGAGTAGGTGCCTCGCTCGCAGGTGTGGCAGGAGGTGCTCTTCGCGTGGCGGTAGCCTGCGACAGGCGCGAGACGGGAAGCAAAACTTGCGATCATTTTGTGCTCCCAAGTCTAGTTGGTGCGGCTGTGGGCCCTGCCCACGGTTCCAAGTGGAAACTTGGTGAGTTGCAAGGGCCCCCCAACTTGCTGGTGCGAGAGATGCAGGGAATGAGAAATGGAATGACCCAAGAAAAACCATCCAACTGGTGGTGTCCTTTAAGGGACCAAAGCCTGGGTTCATTCAACCACATTCCCTACCCATCGGCAAGAAAGCCAGTGGCCCGGTGACGGGTTTTGAGTCTCCTGACAGAGGGTCCCTTCAAGAGGAAGCTGATCTTCCAGGTACCCTCCCACAATTCCTATGTTCGTGGGAGGAAGGGTACCCCTTGCTTGGATAGCACGGAAGGAAACCACTTGTTTTCGGGGTTCCGATGCGTATTTGGAGACAACTCCAGGTGTAAGACTTGAACCAAACCCCGTGGTAAGGAATCAAAAGGCTTGAATCTTGCACCTACTAGTTGAAAGTTAATCAAAACAGGTGCCCTCGCTCCAACATGGCACCTGAAAGGGCTTCCAAGAGAAAAATGATTTTCCAGGTACCCATATTCCCCCCAACAGGTATTTAGCCACACTTCGTGGCAAAGAATCAAACGGGTGGAAAGCTGCGCCGGTGGTTGGAAGTTAGCGGTGTCATTGAACTTCAGCGTCACAGGTTTTGATTGTTGCTGCACTTCTGTTGATTCGAGGGCAATGTAGATGCGTTTCAATGCACCTGTTGAAAAGCTCTTGGATCGGCTGATCGATGCCAATGCGCAGTCAGGCGGCTTTTCATGAGGTTCCCGGTTTTGAGACCTCCCAAGCAGCCCAGCGGCCAACTTCTGCAATCATTCCGAAACCTGAACTAACTCATGGCGTGAGCTGGTTTTACCATCTCGGATCGGTGGAGTCGCATTCCCGAAACGACTCCGTAAAATGGGAATCGGACTCCCGTGCTTCGCTCTTTGCAGCCAAGATGCTGCCAGCCTCACACGGGACACATGTCCCACCTTGCAGGGCATAGCCGTCGTGGCAGGGGTAGACCATGAGCCGTTTCTGGTCCCAGGTGGGCAATTCTTCCATCGCCTCTCCACCTGCCAAGAAGCTCACTGGGCAAAACAAACGACACCTATGTGCATGTGTGTGTATGGATTCTTCTCCCCGCCTTGTTTTAGTCGGAACTCCTTGGGGTCGTTTTAAAGGGAACACTCCGACACAACAAATGGAGGGGTCCATACATGGCCATGGGTCAAAATCCAAATCGTGCCCCCCAGGTCCCAATCCCCACTAAAATAGGTTCTAAAATGGGTGGTGCACCGAAAACCCCCAATATGGGATCCCATTGGTTTTGACAACCACAGCCATGCCAATGCTTCGCAGGCCTTTCCCTAGCACCTTGACAGAGGTCAACCGGTAGCGATCCATGGGTGGGGCAGACTCCGGCAGCGGCTTCAGTTGAACTGTGCGCGCCATGATCGCGTCGTCGTCCAGCATGCCATTACCTTCGCTCAACAAAGGAAGCTGGGATTTGCATCTTTTCTCCCTCATGTTAACAGGCGCCTTGAAAGATACTTCCGAAAACCAGCACAAGGATGCGGATCCTCTGGTAGTTGGGTGAGCTTTGAACCGGCCCGGATTGTTCAAGCAACCTGTGTAGTCATGGGTGTGTCTCAAATGTAGAAACCCTCAGGGTTAACACTTCCGGCGCTTGTCCTTTCAAACCAACCCCATGGGAGCCCCGTCAAAATTACTTGTTCCCTCAAGAGGACATGGGACATTTAATGAGTCCTCTGGTTCATATGGGGGGTTCTCAAAAAGCGGTCCCCTAAATTTCCCAAAATGGTTGGTGTCCTTTTGGTTCTATTTGGCTACCAACAAAAGGGGGTCCACCATTGTGCGAAGCCCCCATACTGTGGATGGACAAAATCCTGCACCACTTTGAAACCATGGGAAACCATGGTTTCTCGGTATTTCCAGAAAAATCATCAATCCCTGGTTTCTGAACGGTGCACTTGAACTGGATTTCGATTTCAACTTCAACCATCAAGCATCCACCGCATGACTGACATGACGTCGAAAAATCGGTCGAACGCTGGGCGGCTGTTGAAGGTCAAGCGCCCATAGAAGGTATTGAAGCTGCCCTGCAAGGCCTTGCTCCGGAGCTCCGTGGGGTCGTAAAACTCGCTCCTGGCGAGACTTGTCGCCCGCAAGAGCGGGGAGAGAGCCCTCAAATTGGGGAGCCCCAGAGTTGCATGGATTTTTAACTGGACGTGAAAAGGGCGCCACCAGGAACTGGTCCCAAATTTTGTTAGAACACCATGCGGGTAGACATAGCAAATAAGGACTTTCAATTGAGTTTCACAAGTTTGTCTACCTAGACCTCAGAGGGAGGGAGACTCCAGGTAAGGGGTAAGGGTGGAGGGGTGAGGATGTCCACCAAAAGGAGATTCCAGGCATTCCATGAAAACTCCAACGTCAGGTGAATCAAAACTGACTAACAAACACTGTATATATACCCTCCCAACAATACTCGAAGCTGACGAGGGCTTTGGAATGCTACTATCCTTTTAAAAAAGCCCCCTGTCCACTTCTATTGTTCTATGATCCTGGAAAAAGTGTCCACTACGTGTAGTGATAAAATAATAAGCTTTGAAACCAACAACGGAAAATCACCACGTATTAATCATGAAGATACTGTCAAAACCAAACTTAAGCAAACACCATCAACCAACAAAATCAAATGGAAGACAGCATCAAACAAAAACTCAAGCAAGTGGAAAACACCATCAATAAAATTGGAAACACCATCAATAAAAGAAACTTAAGCAAATGGACAACACCATCAAACAAAAAAAAAACTTAAGCAAATGGAAACACCATCAATAAAATAAACTTAAGCAAATGGAAGACACCATTGAGAAAAGAAACTTAAGCAAATGGAAGACACCCAGAAACCCCCCTGTCCTCCGTACCAATTCCAGAAAAACGATGCCCGCCGCCGCCGCGGCGGCGCTTTGGTAGGCCGGGTCTCCGCCGAACATGGCGGCGTAGGCGGCGGAAAAGTGGGAGCCGTTACCTGCGGCTTGCCGCAAATCATTGTCCAACCCCTTGGAATCTTTCATTTGGTTGAGACCCCTGGAAAAAATAAAGAATATTTCCAGTAGTGATAAATTCGTTTTAAAACCAACAAGGGAAAATACACACATATTCTTAAGCAAATGGAAGGAATGGGAGTAAAAAGACATGTTTTCTGCAGCCCTACTAAAAATGAACAGAACCCAAGCAAGAACGACTGGTTTTCAGCCCCCTACAAAGAAGAGAACTCACATAACAAAATGAACAACTAAAAGCATGCGGGCAACAGCAAGGAGAATCACCCCCCCCAAATTGGTGAGCTGGTAAACGCGCCGTCTGGGTGTGTCTTGTTTTGAGGGATCCACTATACGGGTAGTGTATTTTGGTGTCCGTTTAAAGCCGCAAAAAGCGGCTGGAAGCCTCAAACCAAAACACAGCAACATATCGGCAGCTGGATACTTGACGGGGCAAATGGATGCTTGACGCGGCAAATGGATACTTGAAGTGGGATGGTGGCCACCCTGAGGTGGTTCCAACTCTTAAACAAGTCATAGCCGCCATAGTGGTGTCTTTTTTGAGGATACTGATTCGCTGTTTTGGTGGTGACTACAGGGACACCAAAGGATAAACAGCAAAGATTGGGGGGGGGTCCAACCTGAATGAAGCTCCTCTTGTTATACTGGCGGTGACCGAACTTCAGGGTAATGAGTTTTTTGAGGGCACGACTTGTTTGGTGTTTCTTTAAAGGGACACCAAAGGGAAACCCGCCAATTTTGGTGCTGTTTCAAGGGAAACCAAAGAGAAACCCGCAATTGTTGGTGCTGTTTCAAGGGAAGCCAAAGGGAAACCAGCCATTTTTGGTGCTGTTTCAAGGGAAACCACAGAAAAGCCAGCCAAACAATGTTTGGGGGGGGGTCCAATTTTACGAAAGACAGCCCCATGGTCCAAAGAGCCGGGCGGCGGAAGGAGGAGCAGGTCGCTTGGGCGCAGGAGTCGTCGCCCAGCTCGGGGAGCCAGGCTGAGGGCCCGGAGATGAAGTTGGCGTTGCGGGCCTCCACTGCGGTGATGAGGTCGGGATGTGAGGCCTGGGTCAGGTGGCCCCAAGGTGGTTGGGGGGGGGGGTAGAGGGCGGAGGGGGGGTTGAGGGGTTGAGGGGTTGAGAGGTTGAGGGGTTGAGGGGTTGAGAGGTTGAGAGGTTGAGGGGTTGAGGGGTTGAGGGGTTGAGGGGTTGAGGGTTGAGGTGAGGGGGGTGCGGGTCAGGGGCGCAACATTCGGGGAAACAGAAAATAGGATGTTCAGATTCTGCTTCATGTTTGCTCAAACTTTGGAACAGTTTCGGAGAGCTGAGCTAGGGGGTTGGGTTGGAGCACAGTTTTCTTTCTGCGACCCCCTCTCTAAGCTTTAAGCAAACAGGTTTGGATGGCTCAGTTCGGCCTGAGTCAGGATGAAGGCCTTGGGGTTGAAGTCAAGAGCCATGGAGGAGACAATCAGCAGCGAAGCTTCTCGCACGTAGCCGCATCCGATGACCAGGTCAGGCTGCAAAGCTTTCATCTCCTGGACCACTGAGGTCATCTCCTAGGGAGAAGGACTCAAGATGTGGTTAAACAACCCCCCCCCCCGCCCAATTCCTTTAAACGTGGTTGACGTTGGGTTTGGGGAGCAACAATTTAAAGTTTAGCAGTTAAGTGGGGATTTCCCACGTCACAACAATAAGCAAAGATGTAAAATGTTTCCCAACAACAACCATGCAATAGGGCCAATTTCACTGGAGGTTGTTTCAAAAGTAGATGTCTGTCTTCCATTTGCTTACGCCCCCTTGGAAAAAAAGAAGAAGCAGTAATCTCCCTTTAAAACCAACAGGGGAAAAAATGAATCCACCAAGAGTAGATGACAACCGACCCCCAGCCCAATTCCTTTAAAGAGCCAACTTCACAGGTTCTTGAAACAGATGCGAGTTGAAACACCCAACCCTCAACTGGAGCTTGTGTAAACAGCCCAACGCCTCCAAGGACCAGGAGATATTCTTCAGCACCTTGAGGCCCATTCCCTTTGCTTGCTCATATGCACCGCCACAGGCGGTTGAGGCGAAATCGCTGGGTGCAAAGGCGAGAACAGCGGATGTTGGTTCCAAGTCCTTGGCAAATCGGGTGCACTCCAAAAAGCCACACCTCCAATTGAAACTGGAAAAATTCGGATCTTTTTGCTTTGCCCTTGGTTCAGCATTCTCATATAAAATTCCAAAAGTGAGATGAGTCACAGTCAAAACCTGGAACAAAATGGGATTATCCATTGCTAACCTTCATCTACCCGGGCTTTGATTGTTCCCAAAAGTGAGAAGACGGTTTTGGCCCCAACTTCTGCCAAAGAGTCTTGAGATCTGCGGAGTGCATCCACCATGTACGTTGGCGCTGGCGCGCACAGGCCTGCAGGTATGTTCCGCACAAAGCTGTGCTTTTGTTGGGTGGGCCTTTGTGGGAGAAACAAATGGGCCCCCGTGCTCCCAAGCGAATTCACAATCGTCTGGTGGATTTTTGGTGAGCTCGACATGTACTCTCTGCGGCATGCAGCTTGGTCATGGTTGCAATCCACAGACAAGAGGCCCATTCTTTGGTGAACCCACGGGAAGAGGGTCTCCATTGCCCAGTCCCGTGGGCAACAAGGGTAGCCTTTTTTGGGAGGGCCAGTTGAAACTTACAGGAATGACCCCAAAGGAAAATGCCCTGAAGGTCTGGGCCACCGAACTCGTGGCCGGGTTCCGGTTTCTGGAACACACACATAGGTTCCTCAAGCGATCAGAACCAAGTCATGTTTTGTTTCTGTGGGGAAGGCTCCAAGCATGGGGATGTCTCTTCTCTTGTTGCTTCCCGGGGAACCTCATGCTTAACGGGTTAAAAGGGAACAAAAAAAACAGTTGCCGTCCTAAGGTGAACAGATCCAAGCAGCCGAGCAGGTGATCGAATCGGAAGACGCTGGGCGAAGATGCGCCAGGCAGCAGAAGCAGTAGCCTTGTTGGCTAGTGGTTCCTTTGCAAACATCCTCAACTTTTACTTATTTCATTGGAAAAAGCGGACAAACAATAAGTAGATTAGTGGGAACACAAGGGGGCATGTTTCTTTGTTGACTAGTGGGGAAAACACACGTGTGGCTGTGGGTCAAAACCCAAATCGTCCCCCAGTGAACATCCCAATCCCCGCTAAAATAGACTACAATGGGTGGTGCACCTACCCCAAAATGGTACCATCGGTTTTGACCCACAGCCATGTTCCCAAAAAGTGAAAGGTTGAAGATCCTAAGCCAAGTAGCCCTGATCCGCTGGTGGCTTCTGCTGCAGCAGCAGACAGCTCCGAGGAGAAGGGGCCGATGAGGGCGTCGGGCCCTTGGGTCACCCACAACTTCCCTTGAGCCGTTTGGCGGTGTCTCAAATGGGTATGAGTCAAAATTAAACCACCAGGAATTGGACCGCAGGTTTTAGCCCATGTTTCCATTTACCAGGGTTTTATTTTGGGGTTACCCTGTGTTTGACCCATACCCAAATCTCGGACCCCCCAGCTGGTTGGTTTCACGTTGGCTTCACATTGACACACCAAAATGATTTCAATGAACATGAGTCCAAGGCTACATGCAAGCTGAAGCCTGTTCCCCATGGGAAGATCGGGGGTCAAAGCTGACGGACCTGTCTGGCCCTTCTCAAAGCACAAGGTAGCTGAGGTTTGCTAAACTCGTTTGTGGATGGGCAAAATCTATTTCCAGTACTGGGATAAATCACCTACCAAGTTTATGGCGCAAGGGAGTTTGTCCATCAGTACCATCAACGATGCTCAAACAAGGGATGGCGGTCCAGCTGCCAAGAACGCAAATGTGGTCATGGTGGGACCATCCCAATAGAGTCGGTACATTGCGGGCCTTTTGCTTTTAAGGATGTGGAAATGCACGGCAATCACCCTTTGGAACCTTGGCGAAACAGAACACAACATGGGCCAGGCGCTTTGGGATCAAAACAAACGGGTCGCTTTGCATCATCCAAACGTCACGTTTGGGCCCACTGCAAGAAACACCCCCTACAGTTGGAAACAAATTGCAACACTTACAAAGGTCCAACAAATTCTGAAACACAGTTGCAAAACTTGCAAAGATACAACAACTTCTGATCTGTGCCGAGCAAAACAAATAAACACTATCCTTAAATCCCAGGCTCTCAGATTGCCCGTCTGCGCCGAGAAGTTGGCATAAATCCTTCTCACCTCCTCAGGGTCACTTTTGTCATCCACCAGCCAGAGCTGCACTGTGAGGCCTGGCGTGTGTCGTCGTCACCGAACAATTTTGGGCGCAGAACGTGCGTCCTCTTCTGGGCTCAGGACCCTTTCTTCGGGGGTCAAAGGGAAACCAACGGCTAACAAATCACATTTGGGGGGAGTCCCCTATTCTAACATGTCCGAATTGAAGCACGCCTTACTTGGATATTGCTTGGGAAGCCAACAGATGCTCCCACCTGGAAAGGCGGGATACTTCTAAGGGGCTCTTAGAAGGGCTCTAAGGCTTTGTCTGTGGGTAGGGAGTGCTAGTGTCTCTGTCTCTCCGAAAATTCAGTGTAGCCCAAGACCAAGAACCCGTTTTCTATGACCCAGCAACAGCCCCATGATTTCAAACTTATTAACATCAGCCCTAAGCAAAATGTCAAGCGGGAGCAACCCCAGATTCTGACTTGGCCTCAGAAACAGTGAACCATGACCAAACTAAGCGTAAATCTGAGCGCCTTTTTTGTTAGCGGGACCGGGACCCCCCAAAATTATTGCTTTCCTTGTGATCCTTTTGGTCCCCTTAAAACCATCCAAAAGGGGTGCCCTCAACAAAAGACGCACCCAACTGTGCATCATGTGCTGTTCGTATCCTCTACAGTGCCAGCCTGCCCTGTAGCTCTTCCCTCTCTCTCTCTTTCTCTCTTTTTTTCTCTCTCTCTGTCTCTCTCTCTCTTTCTCTTTCTTCCTCAGAGCCTCTCTGGTCAAACGGGCTGAGCATGTATTCTCTCATTGTGAACATGTACCCTCAATCAATAAGGGCGCATGCACCCTGTACTTCTCAGAGCGGTGAGGCATGCGAGCATTTGCAAATGTGGTTCTGCGATCCTGCTAAAACATGTCTCATGGTTCATGGTACCACCACCTTGCATAGAGAAACTACGTACAACCCCTGCAAGTCTGTATCTCGAAACATGGACTGCAAATGGCTGCATGTTCATGTCCTTGTAACACTGACCAACGCAGGTGTCGCCTGTTGGATCTCTCTCTGAATCGAGGAACCCTCCAAATGGGTAGCTGCGCAGTTTCCACGTAAACCACCGCACTGGGTTGCTCTTCCTGAAGAAAAGGCCTAACCTTTTAACGGTTTGAGGGGAAAGCCGTTTGTTTCCAAACGATTTACGGCAAAGACCAGCCCAGAAGTAGGGCTGTGGGAATTGAATCCATTCTGTGATACGGACAGAAAGGCTTCCCCAAGACTCACCCCGCCATTAAAAAGAGGAGATGCCCCCCTGTGATTCCCCAAGACTGACCCCCCAAAAGGGGGTCACAGAAGTGGTTGGAGAAATTTCGAGTGATCCCACCCTGAGAAGGATTTCTCAACAGAAAGAGACACACGACGCCTCCCTTCGCCCAGTTGTTTGGATCCCAGGTGCGCTCGCCCCAGAAGCCCAGAGCAGGGCTGCGGGCGATCTCCTGGACACGTGTATCAAGCCCAGTGCTTCCATGGGGTTTCCCGATCGGGCACCGTGGCTTCTAGGCTTCTTTGACGTTGAAGGGGAGCAAACATTCTCAAATGTTAGCATTTAAGTGGTTGGCTTTCAACCACCCAACCACAACAAGCAAAAATGTAACATGTTTCCCAACGACAACCATGTCGGTGTTACATCATGCAGACACTTCTGGTTGACTATGGTGGCTTGCCGAAAGCAAGCACACGGAAATGGGGCGTAGGCCAAGGCACTTTCTGAATGATGTCAGGTGGTGGTATGGACATCACTTGGTGGGATTTCTGGTCCACCATTGTTGAAGGGTTTTGAAGTAGAAGATTGGGCGCTGCAAGCAAATCCAATGAGCAACTTCCCACATTGCCTACTAGAAGCTCTTGGAACCTAAAAAAGCCAGGGCTTGTGTCTTCTCACGGTAACAAGCAAGTGCGGTTTCTCCATTTTTAGGACTCCACATTTGAAGGGTTCGCCACTTTCGAAGGATTACCCCTTGTGAGAGTTGTTTTGAAGGACCACCCTTTTGGGGGGTGGGGGCTTCAGACCCCAGTTTTCAAGTTGAATGGAATCACTACCCGAAAAGCCTGATTTAGATAGCTCACTGATCCAATGGAGAAACACATGCAAGGCACATTCCCACATTTGTTCCTCTTGCCATGGTTACAACCACTTTAGGCAACTGTTGGTTCCCACCTTTGCTACGAACAAACTAGGCCGGTGCAACAACATGCACCACTTGTTGGTACGTAGTTTCTTAAAAGCGGCCCGCTCCCTCCAAAAAACAACAGTCGGTGTTGGTTTTCGGAAGCACCCAAAAGGTGTTCCACAGCATTCCCCCCAGCATCATTTTGCCTCAATACCCACGCATTTTGTAAGCAACCATGAACTTAAGCCAAACCATTGTGGTCACAATATCTGGGCTCAGGGCCGATTTGGTCACACCAAAACGCCATGGTTTTGCCTGAAGCTGGCCTTATTAATTTATCATGATCAAAGTCACCCGTGAAGTGGTGGTTGACACCAATCATTTGCACGATTTGACCCCCAGAAGCAGTCAAAACCAGTTCACCTACCACTTAGGGGGCGGCTCTGATAACGGTAAAATCACGGGTTCAGGAGACCCCCCCAAAAAAAAGAAGTGGATTTCGTGTTTTCCTTTTTGGGTTCCCATTCAAACCACCGAAAAAAGGACAGGGTACCCTCCCAAACAACAAAAACAACAACATGATATTTCGTGTTTTCTTTTTGGGTTCCCCTTCCAAAGCTGTCCAAGAAAAGCGGGCCCCCCAAAAAAAACACGGGGGAGCAGGGGGTGGACTCGACTCTACGCCCCCAAAACCCAGGGGGCCGCGACGCGCGCCGAGCCGACCGCGTCGCCCGCGTCCTGGGCAAAAAGCTCCAGGCCGCGGCGCAGCTCGCGGCTGAGCAGCGCGTGGCGCCCGGAGCAGCTCACCGAGGCGGCCAGCAGAAGGCGCCGCGTGCAGCTGCCGGAGCCGCCGACGCAAGCGAAGCGCCTGGGGAGGGATCCGGGGGGCGGGGGGTGGAACCATGGGGGAAACCAGAAACAACACAGTGAGGGGAGAAAAAACGAACGTGGGAAAGCAGAACCATAGGGCAAGCCATAGGGCAAAATCATGTGGGAAACCATGGGAAAGAACCATAGGGGGGGGAGGAACTAGAAACCTGAAACGAGCGCAAAACCATAGGGGGGTGAAAACCGTAGGGGGGAAGGCATAAAGCATCGGTGGGGAAGCAAAACCATAGGGGAAGACCACCAATAGGGGGGAAAAACAGAAATAACCATAGGGCACACAATAAAAACTGGTGCAAAACCATGAAACAATGAAGAAATCCATGGGTGATACTGTGGATGGACGAAATCCTCCACCACCTAAGAAACCCAGGTTTTTGATGATTCCTCTGTACATGCAAACAAACAAATGGTTTGACATGGTTTCGAAGTGGTGATGGATTGAGTCCATCCAAAGTACCACGACGATGTGGGAAACCGAGGGTCAAAAGCCATGGGGAACGGGTCGAAAGCCATGGGGGTTGACATCTGTATGCCTAGATCGTCTCTCGCATGCACACACTCGAAAACCAAGAACTGACTCATGGTAACCTGGTAGAGGAGTGACTGCAACCCTATGCAAAGAAACAAAGGCATGATGTCGCGGCACCTGAAACTCCACAAGGTTTTTTGGTTTCCCTTTAAACCCACCTTTAACAAGACACACGCACACGCAGACAAGCAGAGACCTCCAGGGGTTGTCTCTTCCTCTCCCCCCAATTCGTGCGGCCAAGTCTCGAAGTCTCCGAATCGCAGTCGTTGCACACGGGCAGCTGCCGCAACTCACCGCAGTCGTTGGCATTGGCCACGGCCAACGTCGCCGCCACGAGAAAGCAGCGCATGGCGCTTCATTAGGGTCACCCGGTCACGTCGAAGTCAGGCCGAAACGAGGAAGTTGCTGTTGACCCCCCTGCAAAAAGTTTAACTTTTTAAAGATCCAACCCAATAGCAGTCAAGACAATAAACATGACCTCAACGTTGTCACAAAGCAAGTTGCGACCGGAAGGCACTAAAGGTAGCTAGACATAAAGAAAACATGAAAGGTCATGGAGCGTCTCTGCACAACCTTGCTCCAATGAACGTGATACCCATTTCTGCCATAGGAATATTTACAGTAACATGGGTTAACCTTTCAAGCTGGGAACCAAATGTCGCGGCCGAAACAAAGCGACTGTTGCTTCCAGACCTGGCCATGGCTGAAACGTATACCCTTCCTTTGACCCGTACTTTGACATATGCGGGGCCCCCAAAACGCTGGCTTTTCGTGCACCTTGCTACCAAGCCGAAGAGCACTCTCAAACAAACAAACAAACAAACAAACAAACAAACAAACAAACAAACAAACAAACAAACAAACAAACACACCAACCAACCAACCAACCAACCAACCAACCAAGCCAAACAAGCAAGCAAGCCAGCCAGCCAGCCACCCAACCAACCAACCAACCAACCAAGCAAATCCAACCAAAATAAACCAAACCAAACCAAGCCAAACCAAACAAACAAACAAGCAAACAAACCAAACCCAACCAAACCAAACCAACAAACATTGTTCATATATACAAATACACGTGCACTCACACACACACATGCCATGGGTATGAAGGCCAACATTGGAAATGGAACCCTTCGGTGCACATGAACACATGCTTGGACTCGACCTAGGAGATGCCATGCCAATTGCAGTGGCCTGGGAGATTGCACATGGGCGTTTCTTTCTTGGGGATTTTTTACAAATTGGTTGTGCTCCTTGTGTTTTTGCTTTAAAACCACAACAAGGGTTGGCCCTCAATAAAGAAACGGCATGAGATACCCACTTTGGCCCGTTTTTGCCCAAGGAAGAGTATCCAAACACCGCCCCTGCTTCAGCTGTCCCAAACAGCGAACCCACCAGAGACCGAAGCCTAGGTTCAGGTTCCATGTGTGGCTGTGACTTTTTTGGAGCTGATACTCTGGTACCCTTTGTGTCATTGGTTTAAAGGGAAGCCAAAAGAAACACCACCACTTTGGGGATTCTCCTTTTTTGACACAGACACAGGTGGAACGCGGGTTGCAAACACATCGCCAAGGAAGCTAAGGGCTGGTCGACCAAAGCGCCGGCAATGGCAGGGAGCCCCTTGCAGCTGGCAATAAAGCTGCGGCAGTTGAGTCTGTGGTCTCTCAAAATCGGATTCGGACCCGTTTTAGGTGGTTTCAAGGGAAACCCAAAGGGAACAACCCTTTTGGGGCTTCCCAATTTGGAGAAACACCCAATGTGTCAAAATACAGTTGGGTGAACAATGACGGCAACTACCCATTTTTGCTGGGAATCCCCTTTTCGTACCCGCACATACTTGGAATTGCGGAATTATCAGGTGTCATCCTTAAACAGGTTGTCCTTTTGTTTTTCCTAACCACGGTGAAGCGGGTAACTCTAAGACGCACAGACCCAACTGGCTACCCTTCCTGGCATGCATAAAAAGGGGCGAAGCAAACCAGGTCGAAACTAGCTCCCGCTTTGGATGGAGCCTCTGCAGTTCCAAGGAATGAGCAACAAAAGAAGGCATGCTGCCCACAAAATGTGTCCACACCTTGAATGTTGATCTACACACCAGTACTTCAAGCCTTTCATCATGTGCGAGCGATGCACTGGTGTGAGGTTTGACGATTCCTGACATAAACTGAGACGCCTTCCTTGACATGTGCCCTGCACTCACTTGCATTCGATCTCTGGTGCAGGCACTGTGATGCAAACGGGTATCAAGCACATTCTGTGGCCCCGGACACGTCTGCCCTGGTATGACTTTCACCTACGCGGCATTGTGCAAACGGATGCAACATGAGCCCTCACATGCTTTCGATCAACTTCGGATCCGAAACCATCCTATACAATGCCCAAGAATCAAGAATTTCCCCCCCCCCCCTGAAATGGGACGCCACCTAGTAATATCGACCAGGGGTTCGGTGCGCATATGTGCGCATTCTGCATCTTGCACGCGCCTGGGCTGGCCCGATCATCTGCGGATGACCAGGAGATCTGCAGCGAATCCTCGCAGGATTCGCGAAACAGCCTTCACTCGAGCCTTGAGCCAAACAGACTTTGTGAAGCGACAGAACCCAAAGGCCCAAAGGACAGGTGACTCTGCGTCCTGAGCTGATGCTGAGATGAAGCTATGGGAACTGCGCGGCAATGTGCTGGGCCGGTGATTCGACGGCTCCAGCTGGGAGTCTCTCAAGCTGGGAGGGCAGTGCTTGCAGTGATCCACGTAGCAGTCCACAAACTCGTCCCAAGTCACCCACCTGGGGGAAACCAAAAGGAACACATACCTCTTCGCCCGAACCTCGGGTACGGAAAAAACCGTTTCGTTCCCGATTTCGTGGACAGTAAAACTATGTTGGAGAAGACTCCAGACCCTTGGACATGTGTGTTGTCGGGTTCCCATTTTCACCTTGAAAGGCAAAGGCAAACCGAAGCCCATTTTTTTCTGACGAGCTGTTCCCATATTCACGGGGCTGTGGGTCAAAAAATAGGTACCCCAAATGGGTTGGGAAATGAAACCATGGACTAAAGCCTGCTGTCTGATGTTCAATGTTGACCCCTACCCAGGTAGAACCTACTAAAATTGCCCAATATGGGTAGCAAGTCCTACTAACATAGATTCATGAACCTAACCATAACCCCTACTTGGAAACAATGGGGAAACAAGGTCAGCTGGTATTTACAGGGAAATCATCAGAAACCAGGGCTTCTTAGGTGCAGGATTTCGTCCACACTATGAAAAGCCGGGAAGTAGAAGCTTCATAAATCCCTTTGGGGCGCTCACCTGTTAGGATCACCCGCCAGAAGAGGAGCGAAGTGCTTCAAAAAGTACTCCACGATCTCCGCGTTCTTCTGGACAGCCGCCAGGAGCTCCCCGCGCGTCCGCGTGACTTGCTGGTCCAGGAAGAAGTCCCGGGCCCAGCAATACCTCACATGGCTACATGGCTGTGGGTTGTGGGTCAAGAATGGGTACTCAAAACATGCATAGGTGTCCTTTTAGAGGAAATAGATGGATTTCCCCCAGGTAATCTAGGAATCGCCATCTATTTTTCTACCAAGACAACCAAAAAGAGCACCTTTGCTCACATGGCTGCGGGTTGTGGGTCAAAAATGGGTACTCAAAACGTGGCTGTGGGTCAAAAGCCCGGTTAGCCCCCAGAGAACATCCGATTCAATCCAACCACTCAAATACGTTCTAAAATGGGGGGGGTGAATTCACCTACCCCAAAATCGTACTCAAAACATGCATAGGTGTCGTTTTAGAGGAATAGATGGATTTCCCTGGTAGATGAGAAAAACAAAAAAACACCAGGTAAAAGCCAGGAATCACAATCTATTTTTCTACCAAAACACCCAAAAAGGACACCTATGCTCACATGGCTGTCGGTTGTGGGTCATTAATGGGTACTCAAAGGGCTTGTCCTGGTAAATGGAAACTAGGACTGGGTCAAAAATGGGGCTACCCCGAAATGGAACGCAAGCCCTGGGTAAATGGCAACAAGGTGACTAAAACCTGCGGTCCAATTCCTGGTGGGTGTAATTTTCACCCAGACCCACATGGCTTTCGGGTCTGCGATCTCGACGAAAACATAATATGAAACCATGGTTTCCAAAATGATGGGTTTTGGCACCTTCGCTAAACATGGTTGCCAAAAAGGGATATCCAACGGGTATCCAAGGATGTGTCAAAGGGAAATGGAGCCGGGGCTTCGGATTTTCCTCTTGGCTTCTCTTTAGACCAAGCGAAGGACGGTACCAACTCGACCAAGTCTAATCGATCCGAGCTACGCGCGCTCCCTCAGTACCCAGTCACACCGGGAAGCCTTCACCGAAGTCTCAGACAGGGATTGGCACCTGCAAGGGTGCAAAGCTTAAACAACCACGGCCCCCGTTGCTTCAACAAATGGTCGCATGATTTCATATGGCCATGGGTCAAAATCAAAATCCCGTACCCGCAATGAAGATCCCAATCCCCACTAAAATAGACTAAAATGAGTGGTTCACCTACCCCAAAATGGTACTGTACCATTGGTTTTGACCCACAGCCATACGGTTTCCCGTAGTCTCCCTGGGGTTTTCCAGGGTTCTCGGCCCAGTGCTTCCCGCCGCAAAACCCAGAAGAAGCCATGGTCACCCACAAGAGTGGTATTTGGAAGCACTGGGCAACCCATGGGCCCCCGTTGTTTTGACAGGTTGACACGATTTGTTCACCCCAAACCGGTTTGAGGGTACCATGCTTAAGTTAATTCAATTTTGAGTTGAGAAGCCTTGTGTTGGCAAGGGAATTTACGCATTGCATACCCCAGCTTCCCTCCAATTTGTGGTTTGGATTGGTGGCTTGGTAGTTAAGGAGGAGTTTCTCATTTCCCATCTACAGGAAGCAGGTCACCTGAATTAATGTCTTACAAATGAACTGACAGAGGTGTGGTGTTTCTTGAAATTGAGGGGACAAGAAGCAACATGAAACACCGCCGCCGCATTACGCAAGGCAATGCCGCTAGCATACCACAAGGGAAACAATCCGCTTTGGGGCTTCCCCCATTTTCTCACTTCCTGAGTGGATTGGTCAAACAAAAACTCCACCCCTAAAAGAAGTCGCTCAAAAAGTTCAAGTCCAGGACCTCGGGGAGTGAGTTTCGACATGTGGCTGCGGGTCAAAATTTAAGCCACCAGGAATTGGACCACAGGTTTTGGTCTTTGGTTCCATTTTCCAGGGCAAGCCATTCCATTTTGGGGTTACCCTATTTTTCACCACCACAGCCATGTCACTAACCAAAGTCAAGGGGTCTTGAGCACCGAACTAAGCAGTGACAAGAGCATGCCTTCCCTGCTGTTTTAGTCTTTGGTTCCATTTACCAGGGCAAGCCATTCCATTTTGGGGTTACCCGAGTTTTGACCCACAGCCACATACCCCTTCCCTCGTGTTTACCACGGAGCATCGAGGCTACATCGCCCCACCCCACCGGACCTGGACCCAGGGCTGGTGGCGCAGTCCGACAGCCGATCCGCGCGCAGCTGGGAGGCCGTCTCCTCGAGGCCGCCTCAGTGCCCAGCGCGAGTGCGGCTCGTGCGGCTCGAGCGCCGTGGGGCGAAATGAGAAAGGCATCCCGTCAGCTTTTAAAGGATGGGTTCCATCGCTTTTTGGGTTCCATGCATAACACACTTCCTGAGTGGATGCCCTCAAAGTTCCCAAAGGTCCTTTTTCGGCATGCCGCTAAAATGTGGGTCCGGGAGTGAGCCCGTGGGGCACAAGGGGAAAAACAAAACAACACCAGGGCCATGTTGGCAAAAAATGAGCTACCCGTCCCAACCCCCGTAGGTGTCCTTTTAGGAAGACCAAAAATATGGGTTTCCCATGTAGATGAGAAAAAACAAGGTAAACCAGTGCCATCTAGTTTTCAACCAAAAGAACCAAACAAGGACACCAATGGTCACCACTCTCGGTCCCTGTTTGGATGTTTGGAGGCTTACCCACAGGTTGGGCCCTCCCAGTGCTTCGATGGTTACCACGATACCCAGTGCTTCCATAGTTACCACCACCTGGAGTCTCCACCTGGACCCGAAAAAAAATGGCTGGTCATTACCCAAAATGATCGGGTCATTGACCCAGTTTTATTTAACGGGTCAGATCCGGAGACGCCAGGCACTCACTTCGTGACCACCCCAGTGCTACCTTCCAATTCCATTCTTTTCAGGGATCCGGAAACCCATGGAAATGGCCGGTTTTCGAAAAGAACGATGGTTGGAAAGAATGGAAAAGGAATCAACCCGTAGAACCATGGTTCCCACCATTTACTACTCTCATGCAAGTCTCATACTCTGGAACCATGTGTTCGTCTAAAATGCCATCGCTTTTTGGGCTCCATGCTAACACACTTCCTGAGTGGATGCCTTCAAATAAGTTCCCAAACTTTTTGCATGCCACTAAAATGGTCCAAGCCCAGAAAGTGTAAAGTCCATGAACTCAGGGAGTGAATTTTGACACCTACCCAGGTCAAGCTCAGGATCCCCTTCTGCCCCAGCTAAAAGCTACTACATATTAGAGTCTCTGCCCCTGTGGTTTGGTTAGCAGCTTTCAGGGAGGGTTCAAAGGGAGGGCCATGTTTGCTTACGCGGGGCCTTTGTATGCAACTCTTGCTCGGGGTGTAACGTTTTTGTTTTAGAGCTGCTCATGTTGTTTTGGGATTTGTTTGAACCAAAACACTTCAGCCTGTTCTTTGGCGCAAGCCAAGAGTCTCCATACCCCTTTTCCAGAGGCCGCTGTCTCCTCCAGACTGTTCCTCGATTCCTTCGCTCCGTTCGACCCGAGCTGTGAGCGCAACTGCGCCACCTCCTCCCGTAGCTTTACCAGCTCAGCGCGCTCCAGCTGCGACAGACCTCGAAACCGAAGCGTGGTCATACCCCTTGGCTACCCTGGAATATATACCCCTTTTCGGGAGAGGGGTATGAACATGAGCAGGCCTTTTGGGTTCATTTGCCCAAGGGGCATGTAAAAGGGGTATGTGCAAACACCCCTGGAGGGCGCAACAAAGAAGTAACCAATGCTATTGGGGAGAATTGAGTCATAATCAAAACCTGGCATTAAAATGGTCTACCCAGAACCATGTGAAGAATTAAGAAGGCGGCCGCAACTATTTATGGCTGGGAGTCTCCCTTACTAACCTCCATCTACCCAGGTTTTGATTGTGGCTCAACTGGGGATCTTGACCCGGATTTGAAGTGTCCCTGGCTCCTTGGCTCATCGAAACGGATCACGTTTTGCCAGGTGCTTAGGTCCCAATTTCATAAAGCAAACAAGTGATTAAGGGTCCAAGACTCAGAAATGGTGGAAGGTCGAACCAAAGTGACCTTACCACGTCTTAACAGTCTCCGTCCACGAGTTCAAGGTGCAGGTTTTCCAAAACATATAGAGGGTAGCCACTTTGAGGCCCCTTGCTTGAGGTTTGAGATTAGTAAGCGGTCCCGGAAGCCGCTTTGGACTCGAAGCGCACAGACAAAAGTGCGCCGGACTGATAGCCACATTCACAGGTTATGAGCCCAAGTCACGCGGTGTGACACTGGCGCCATGGATGGTGCTGAACCAGGGAGGACCCGGAGAAGGACTACCCTGGAGACCAACGGAAAGGGATCTGGAGGCCGAGTCGGCCCAGTGGTGGAGGAGGTGGTGGAACCTGCCCTGATAGCCAGGCCGGACGGGTTGATTGAGGCGGCAGCTTCGACCCAATGGCCGGGAGGGCCGCAGGGGGAGCCATCGTCGATTCAACCCGGGCCGGCAGAGAACGAGCTGTTCACTCCGGAGCAGATGAGAAGGTTGGATGAGTGGACAGCCGAGGCTCCGCTCATTCACGCAACGGGAGCTGCAACAGGTCATGGAGGTTTTGAGGGCTACATCCAGCGGTCCAATGAGGGCATGCAGGTGGAAAGGCAGTTGGCGCTGGCAGCACAACATCTTGCTCTACCAGGACCAGCGGGAGATGCTGAAGGCCAACGGCCTGCTCAACGGCAAGAACTGGGGCCGCAGCTGGTACTTCGTGGACCTGGGGGACATCTTGAAGGCTCACGGCTTGCTCAATGGCAAGATCAAGGATCGCTGCAACAGCCGGGACTACCTGAACCAGGACGGCATGCTCAATGGCCAGATCCGATGCAGGAGATGCGCTACTACATGGCACAGATCCTGGCGGATAACCGGAGGCTGCATCAGGAGGTGGGGCGATGCATCAGCCAAGTCCAGGACATGCAGCAGAACTGGAAACCGCCGGAGGTGGAAGCTGCTCGAGGAGGTGATCAGAGTGACAGGTTTGCCACGCCTGAGGAACATGGAACCCCTGAAGGCCGTGGAGCTCGAGGTGAACCTGCTGATCCTGAGGAAGAATCCTCGGAGCTACGTGAGGACGAGCCGACGGGCCCGAAGGACAAGTCCCTGGAGATCATGCTGAAGATCGTGCAGGGCATGCAGAACATGCAGCAGCAGATGTTGGACACAAAGAAGAAGGTGGACCACGGCGAGGACACGAGCGAGACGGTGAAGAATGTCACGACGGAGTTGCCGAAGCTTGTGGAGTATAAACCGGAGAGTGCTCCCATTGACCTGGGAGACTGGATTTGCGTCCTGGAGCCGATCATGGCGGACCTCAGTGAATCGTCACAGCAATGGTGGCAGCAAGTGGTGGAATCGGCGAGGACGTGGTACGGAAAGTACCAAACTACGCCGCCGCTGGAAAGACTCAAGCTGCAGCCGAAGGACCCTCCGGAACTTCAAGAACCGAAATGGCGGAGGCTGGAGAGGCGGGCTGTAGGGCTACTTCTTCGCGCTCTTCCTGATGGAGCTCGTGAGGAAATGGTGGCAACGAAATCCATGACTTGCTATGCGATTCTCTGCAAGCTCATGGCGAGCTACCAGCCGGGTGGACTGGTGGAGAAATCGGTCATCCTGAAGAACCTGGAAAGTCCCCCCGAGGTGGACTCCCTGGCGTCGCTGGTGGTTGGGTTGAGGAAATGGATGAGGTGGAAGCAGAGGGCACAGGAACTTGGGGTGACCATTCCGGACCCCACGGTACTGGCCCGCTCCCTCAGCAAGATGGTGAAGAAAGTGGTGGAGATGCAGCCAGAGCTCTCGTTTAAGATGGCCCTGGCGAGGAATTCGCTCCAGTTGGACTCCATCCCCTCGCACGAGGCAGTGGAGAAGTACGCGGAGCACGTGTTGTCGGAGGTGGAAGCGATCGCCCACTTGGAGAAGGAGGACAAAGCCCCCGCGGGGAAGGCGCAGGCCACGGACACCCGCATCAAGAAGGCAGAGGCCGTGGACTTCAAGAATGAGGTGAAGAACGCTGGAGAAGGTGGGAAACCCTGCAAGTTCTTTCTTACCGAAAAGGGCTGCAGGAGAGGACGTGGCTGCCGCTGGAGCCATGACCAGAAAGATGAACGCATGAGATGCTGGTCATGCGGGGCGAGCGAGCACATGCGGAAGGACTGCCCCGTGGCGATCAAGAGCAACGCGGACCGAAAGCCCAAGGCGGCGAAGGTTAACGCGGAGGAGGAAGCAAAGAAGGAAGTCGCGACGGAGAGCCAGAAGGTTATAACTCCAAGGGCGGCCACATCGGCAGCGATGCAGGAGGATTCACCGGGAACGGCGAGTTCGGCATCGGGCGACAAGGAGACTGACGCAATGAAGGACGTGCTCCAGGAGGCGACCAAAATGCTCCGGAGCATCAACGTCAAGACCGGCAAGAATGGACCGGAAGACGATGAGAAGAAGCTGATGGACCTGCAGAAGCAGCTGGACGGCATGCGAGAAAAGATGCGGGTTCGACAGGTGAGGTTGTCAAAGGTGGAGATCGGTGGGATGCGCGGACTGGTGGATTCAGGAGCAACGCACCCGCTGAGATCCATGATGAAGGGCGAAGACACCTCGGACTATGAGGAGAAGACCGTAGAGCTGGCGGCTGGAGAGACCTACCGCCTGAAGGTCACCTTGGGAGGAACCCTGGTTGCGGAGGACGAGCGGATACAGCCGATCATCCCCATGGGAATGCTCACGAAGGACTTGAACTGCCAGGTCAAGTGGAGCGGAAAGACCTGTGCGGTGGTGCACCCTGGACGAGGACGTCTACCGGTGGTGATGAGTCAAGGCTGCCCGGAGTTGCCAAGAGAACTAGCCCTCAGCTTGATCCAGGAGCTGGAGGGGGTGAACCGCTACAGGGTCAAGGCGCTGTCAAAGCGGGATGAGGTGGACTTCATCAAGAAGGTGGTGGAGATGCACCCGGTGTTCGACGGTGTGCCGGAGGCAATCAAGGAAAAGTTGATAGTCAATCCGGCGGAGGACTGGAAGCCACTGGGATTGAATAGGAGCCGGAGGAGAAGGCTTGAGAGAAAGGGAGGTGCGGTTGTGCACTTGTTTGCAGGTCCGGAGGAGGGATTTGACTTGTCCCGGGCTTATAAAGAGCAAGGAGGTGATCCAAGGGACATCTTGGAGTATGACATCCTCCGTGACAACAGCCACGACCTCATGGACGACGAGCTCATGGGTGGCTTGGTGCGGCTGGCTTTGGATGACCGAATCAAAGCAGTGGTGGGGGGCCCGAATTGCAGGACGCGATCAGTGCTGCGGTTCTTCCCATTGCTCAACAGGGCCAAGCCGCGACCGGTGAGAACGATGGAATATCCCTGGGGATTGCCGGGAATGGACCAAGGAGAAGAAGCCATTGTGTACGAGGATGACGTGCTCATGTTTCGCTTCATCCTGGTCTACTTGCTGGCGGACCTCACGGCAAAGGCCAGAGAGGAAGAAGGAGGTGCTGTGGAGTTCTTCCTGGAGCAACCGGCAGAGCCGCAGGCGGAGCCGAGGTGTGCATCGTGGTGGCGGACGCCGGAGTGGGAAGCCCTGGAGAAGCTCCACGAGCTCAAGAAGGTAACGTTCTTGCAAGGTGACTGGGGTGGGCGAGCGGCGAAGCCTACGACGGTCGGGACCACCATGGACTTCAGAGGCCCCGAGAAGGGCATCTGCAAGCTACATCAAGGAGGTCATCAAGGGCAAGAACAGGAGATGGACAAGCCGAGGTGGATGATGACGGACGAGGAGAAGCTCAGCTCCTCGAAGGCATTGGCTCGATGGGCCCCTGGGATGATGCGGGAGCTCGCAAGGTGCCTTCGAAAGGAGGTGGACGGTGAGTCGAGAACGAAGGTGAAGGCACTGTCATGGGAAGAGCACGTGAAGTTGGGGCACCTGCCGTTTCGGCGTGACTGCCGAGTTTGTCAGGAAGCCTCAGCCAAGGACCGGCCACATCGAAGGGTACGACATCCAGCCGGGAATGTTCTCTCGGTGGATTTGAGTGGACCGTTCATCAAGGGCATCGATGTGGATGGCGTCCAAGACCGGAGGTACCTGCTCGTGGCTGCGTTCACATGGCCACAGATCAACACCGAGGAAGGTGAGGAACTTCCTTGCAGAACCAGGTGAGGGAGAAGACCTACTACCGGTGGCGGAACAGGAGGACCAGGATGAGCAGGAGGAAGAAGAAGGCTTCGATGTGGAAGGAGCCCGAGAGGAGGAGGAGCAGCCGGTGATTCCGGAAATCCAGAAGGAACCGCACCCGCTGAAGACGTTGTACATGACGGTCCCGCTGAAATCCAAGGACAAGCGGGAGGTCTTAGCGGCGATCCAGGAGGTCTATATCAGATTGAGGAGAGAGGGCCACCTGGTGCTGAGACTGCATTCAGACAAAGGAGGCGAGTTCATGAGCAAGGAGCTGGCCAACTGGTGCAGACTGAGGGACATTAGAAAGTCCACCAGGACACCGGACCAGATGCAGGAGAACGGAAGAGCGGAAGCTGCGGTGGGGGTCGTCAAGTCGATGATCAGGAGGGTGCTGATAGCATCACGATGGGAACCAAGGTGGTGGCCCTGCATCGCCCGGTACGTCTCGGAGGTGCGCTTCAAGTTCGACCAGACCGGAGACCATCCGAAGTACCAATTCGGAGAGGAGGTTGTGGTACCAAAGAGAGCTTGGAAGCAGAAGTCTTTCGAGGCGAAGAATCAGCGAGGCAAGTACCTGGCCCCGCTCTATGACATCACCCACGGTCATGCGGTGAAGCTGGACTGTGACAACAAGGTAGTGGCGGTGTCGAAGGTTCTCTCAGGCTTGCGAGAAGGGGAAGCCCCGAGAGCAGAAGGACAAGAGGAGGAAGAGAATCCCGATGGGGATGCTCTGTTCGATGAAGCTCTACATGTGAGAAGACGACTGAGGATGAAAACGAGCGAGCAGAGCAGAATGGACGATGGAGGAGGTGAACAGATTGCGGAGCGGATTCGATTGCTGCGGAACCTCATTATGGAAGAGGAAGAAAGGATGTTGGAAGATGGAGAAGACGCAGCTGAAGTCACCTTTAAGATGGTGAGGAAGCTGAAAGAAGAGGAGGAGAACCTGAAGCAGACCGTGCCGGACCACAAGGAGGCAGAGAAGGTCCTGCATACAAAGATGGTCTCCACGAATGAGGTGATCACGGACAAGGAAGCCTGGGCGACGTCGATCAAGATGGAGCTGGACTCGCTGATGACAGAAAAGAAGGCGTTGCGGCGATTGTCTCCTGGGGAAGCCGCGAAGCTGATCAAGGAGAAGGGCAACAAGCTGACCGTGGTCCCGGGCAAGGCAATTTTCAGCGTGAAAGCGGGAAGTTCGCGCCGGAAGACCAGGTTGGTGGTGTGCGGAAACTACGTCGCACAGAATTCGGAGGCGGAAGGAGACACCTTCGCAGGTGGTACGGACATTACGGCGATCCGCTTGCAGGTGAAGGTTGCCATGGAGAAGAGATGGACGATGTCCGCATTGGACATCAAGTCTGCATTCCTCAATGCAGATCTCCATGGTGAAAAGGAGCCGGAGAACCTGGTAGCGATGAGACCGCCGGCGATTATGGTCAGGATGGGCTACGCAGAGCCCGGAGAATTATGGCTGATAGACAAAGCCATGTATGGGCTTCGCCAAAGCCCGAGAAGATGGTCAGACCACCGTGACGCGGAGCTCGTGACGGTCCAGTGGGAGGTCAACGGCGCCTACTACAAGCTGGATCAGTGTGCTGCAGAACAGAATTTGTGGCGCACACTGGAAATCCGAGGCGCGGAGGAGATCTTGGCGGGACTGGTCACCATCTATGTCGATGATGTCCTCACTGCGGCGGAGGAGGCCGTGCGAGAAAGGTTTGAGGCCATCATTGCGGAGAAGTGGGAGACGAGCGTGCCAGAAGTGCTGAAGACCGGGCACCAGATCCGATTTCTGGGAATGAACTTGAAGAAGGAGGAGAATGGAATCTTCCTACACCAGCAGGACTACGTGGAGGAACTGCTGACCCGGCACAAGGACGAGGTGAAGAAGGCTAGGACGCCCATGTCCAAGGAAATGGCGGATGAAGCTGAGGAGAAGATCGGCGACCACACGATGACGGATCTCGCAAAGGCACAGAAGGTGACGGGCGAGATCTTGTGGTTGATGACGAGAACACGGCCCGACCTCCTCTACTGCATGAGCCGCCTGTGCAGCATGGTGTCGAAGAACCCGAAGTGGGTCGTCAGAGCGGCAGGCTATATCCTGGGCTACCTGGACTCAACGAAGGACTGGGGGCTGTGGGTATCAGGAGAATCTGGACGGCATTGGAGCGGTCATGGAGCAGCAGGACTTCAGGCATACGCTGATGCCTCCTTCGCCCCACTGGGGGAAAGAAGCCAAGGATGCTCCCTGGTGTCGTGGAACGGCACGGTCATCGCCTGGAAAGCAGGGAAGCAAGCGTTTCCAGCCTTATCCACGGCCGAATGCGAGTTGATCGAGGCCATTGACAGCGTGATCCTTGGGGACAGTGTTGAAGCGCTGATCACTGACACCTTGGGGCTGGACGATTTCAAGAAGATGCTGCTGTCTGACAACGCAGCAGCGGTGGCGATTGCCACAGACGTGATGGGATCCTGGCGAACGCGGCATCTCCGGCTTCGAGCGTTTCATCTTCGGTGGCGAATCAGAGCCGGTGATTGGGAATTACGCCACTGCCCTGGACAACAGATGTTGGCCGATCTTGGCACAAAGCCACTGGGCCCAGCGAGGATCAAGGAGTTGTGTGCCTTGTGGAATTTGAAGGCCATGCGAGAAGAGGCTGAACAAAGCAGGCTGAACAAGGCCGTGGTGGTGCAGCCGGATGTGGACAAGTGGATCAAGCTGCTGGTGATCTTGATCATGATCACAGGAAGGCGCAAGGGGGTCAACAGCCGGAGGAGGAGAAGATTGACCTCGCGGTGGTGGTCCTGGTGATCGCAGTGGTGGCAATTGTGGTGTACCGCTTGGTTCATGAAGCGGCGTCGGACATCTGTCTGAGGATGAAGAGATTGAGAGTGAGAGGTGTGGAGCAGTGCACCCAAACGGAAATGGAGGAAGAGGTAGTGGAGGTGCCGAGAACACAGAGCACTTCGGCGGCCAGGTCTTCCAGCTCGGGAAGCGGGGATCCCTCGAGGGCAAGTTCAATGAGGAGGCGCCGAGGTGGAGACGCTGATCGAACAGAACAGCCAGCTGTAGAGCAACCTCCGCCTAGGCCAGTGGAACCGGATGCGGAGGACGAACGCTTGAATGCACGCTGGCGGGAGGAATTGCGGGTGATGGAGCAGCTTCGGTGGCGGGAGTTGCGACCTGAGCCTGAAGCGGTCGAGGTATATCATTTGACCGGAATGGGTGATAAAATACATTGGCGCCGCAACTGTTATGGGTTGCGAAACGCCACAGTTCGCGGAATGCGGGCGGTTTTGCCTTGTTCCAGATGCTGGTTGGGAGAAAGGCAGCGAGTTCGTGGAGCCAGGACCTGGAGAGGAGATGACGGCTTCTTGCACTCGGACATTCGCTGTGCCGGCATTGGACAGGCTCCACTTCGACCCTTGCAGCCGTGCAGATTCTGCCAGGGAGGAGTGACACAGGACAATGAAGAGATGATGAGGGACGCGGGCCGGTTTCCGCGTGGACTTCAATGATGAGCGGCTTGAGCTGAACACGTCCTTCGGATGACGTGAGAGGCTCGCAAGGCAGCACTGACTGCCGACTTTTGTCATTTGTGCCCTCCCGGACACAAAGGGGAGGAGTGCAGGTTTTCCAAAACATATAGAGGGTAGCCACTTTGAGGCCCCTTGCTTGAGGTTTGAGATTAGTAAGCGGTCCCGGAAGCCGCTTTGGACTCGAAGCGCACAGACAAAAGTGCGCCGGACTGATAGCCACATTCACACAAGGAACCCACCACAGGGACCCTTGAGGAAAATGGTTCAAACCGGGACTCCGCCCCCCCCCCCCCCACTAGTGAGGTTCAATGGACATGTGTGTCATGTTACCCAAAAGGATATACATGAATACAAATGCTTAAAGGCCAATCCAAACGCCACCAAGACACTGGGGCTGGGAGGGCTTGGGCTCTCGCGGGGCAAGGGCAGGATGATGCTGGGGCTGCCCAGATCATCCATGGGCCTTTCGAAGGAGGCGAAACCATCGATGGATGGGCCATCCGGCTCTGTCATGATCTACATGCTACGCTTGAGGCAGCGGAGTCCGGATAAAGCCGCGCGAGGTTGCGGAAGCCCTAGATGGACAAAGGTGACTCGGGCATGAGTGTCAATGTCGTGTCAGCCATGCCGCGTAGCTTGCATCCAAAACAAATAAATCAATTCGGACACCCGTTGCAGGATAGGACATCAACAGACCCTTCTCTTGTTTTGCTCATCTTTGCATTGGCCCACGTATACCAAATAAAGCCGTTGCAAGCCGTCGCACTTGAACAACCGCTTGGCGAATGGGTAGTACGGCTCCACCTGGCAGCAGCGAGAGATGGGCAAGCTTAGGTTAAGATCTGGCCTGAGTCGCCAATCATTCCCTGCCCTCCCAAAAAGCCCAGAGGGTCCCTTGGTACCTCCTGAGGATGGCTTTTGGGGGGGTAGAAAGGGGTCGTTCAGTACCTCCTTAGAAGATACTTGGAGCCTCTGGAAAGAAGCACTTGCGCAACATGTTCGGATTATGTATCTCTAACCTGGGGCCCAACTCAACCATGTGGCCCATCCTTGCCAGTGCTCAGGCTGTATCTCAAAACGAAATGAACACCTGCTGATAGCAACCCCCTACGTTCGTCGTCCCAAAGTTTCGAGTGTTTGCAGGGTCCCTCGCAACCGCCAAGAGGGCTCGCGTCCCTCCCTCAATAGAAACCTTTACATTCTGATTGTCTAGAACCGCAGTACTTGGTTGACGTTGTAAGGGGAGCAAACAATTAAATCTTAGTTAAGTGGTTGAATTTCAACCACTAAACCACAATAAGTAAAGATGTAAAATGTTTCCCAACAACAACCATGAGTAGTTTGGGGTTGATGAGACTATCCTTACTAATCCAAGTAAAGGAGCAGGTCTTTTGGCCATCGGCACATATTCGCGTGTCTTAAAATACATTGGGGACACGGGGGCTTCCCTTTGGCAGCCCTTCAAACCAACCCAAAAGGGTAGCCTCAAAAAGACAGAGCCCTACTGTGGATGGACGAAATCCTGCACCACCAAAGAAACCTGGTTTCTGCTGATTTCCATTCTGTAAATACCAACCAACAATGGTTTCCCATGGTTTCCAAGTGGTGCGAAGGGATTTTGTCCATCCACAGTATTTAGCCAGTGCTTCCAGTTACAACTAGAGTCTAGAGTAGGTAACCGGGGGTTCTTACCGCTAGGCCTTACATGATGGGTTTCCCCTAGGTGCCAACTATGGTGATCAAAAAGGGTACCCTCACAAGTATCAGACCCGGGACCCGTGGCCCTTTAAACCAACCCAAAAAGGGTACCCCCCCCTCCTCCCTGTCCCCCCGTCCTTCCCCCCTTTGACCATGCCTGCGAAGTGACTGGGTTGATGAGCTGCTCCCCCCAGTGCTCGGGGCGATGTGTCTCAAACTGCTCCACCTCGAGAGGGGAACATGGCACGGCCCCGTTTGGTGATACTCTAGGTCCTCCAGTGGAGAGCTTAGAATAAGGGTGCCCTTTTGCCTGTAGTCTATTTTAGTAGGGGAACCCTCCCCAAAAAAGGGTAAAAGGGCAAAAGGGCAGTACTGGGGGACCTAGTACTTGTTGGGGTTGTTTTGAATGGACAGCAAAAGGACATCTCCAAACACCACACATTTTATGAGACCAAGTCATTTTGAGAACCCAGACCGATGTGTGGTTGATTCCCAGGCAACTTATCCTACCCCAACTGAGGCCTTGCTGAGCCCTTTTTGGCAGCCCATCTTCCTGCTATTGATCACTGTCATTAGGATTCCTTTGGCTCACGACTTGGTTCCCACTACGACCTCCGCTCCACTCTCAAGACGCTCTGTCACAGCTCTCCTTTCCAGCATCTGTTTTCTTTACACCCCATATTCGCAAGCTCAGTTAAAAAATAGGTGGCGTCCCTGGGGTTAGTCGGGAATCATCGCTTTTGGAAGGAACCACCGGCCTATTCCTTAATCAACTAAAATTATTTCTACGGGTCAACATTAGCCAACAAAGTGACTGCTTCTGAACTAAAATTATTTCTACAGGTCAACACTAGCCAACAAAGTGACTGCTTCCTCGCAGCTGTCTGCGCAATCAGCAAAAAAAGAGAGCTCAGACAAGAGCCGAGCCATCGAGCTCTCAAGGCTAGCGGGGCCATCTGTGTCCGCGGCTAAATCCAAACTGCCCCAACTGATCGCGTACTTTGCCTGGCGCATGGGACGATCTGTCAAGGCGAGGGCAGTGTGCAAAACAAGCCCAGTGCTTCCAGGCGATCCACAATAGGCAAGCAACTAGCTGAAACCATGATGTAACAACTAGAGGTAACATTAGCTGGATACCTATTTTACTGGCTTGCCTGGACAGACTGGGAATGACAATGATCTATGGTCAAGTTCACCAAGCGCCCAGTTGAGGCTTGTCAGCGGCCTCTTGCCGTTTCCAGAAGTGTGGCAAGCAAAGGCACCACATGCTCATCAGTACCTGGCAATGTCTTCCCAGAATCTCGCGAAAGCATCCAGCTCTTGTCACTGCTTAGTTCAGCAGTGCTCAAAACCCGTTGACGTTGGTTTCTAATGACATGGTCATAAACCAAGTAGTAGAACCACCTACTAAAATGGCCACAACTGGTTTTGGGGCACCGCGCGATTTGAGATCCCTTGGTGGACGTCATGGGGATTCAAGGTCTAATTTGATGGCGAAACAACTCTGTGCTCAAACTATGTTTAGCTTTTTCAGGTTGATTGCAGGTTAAAGGTCCAATAGCATTCAAGCCACCAATGTGGGTTTGTTCGAGAATTAGGGCCCCTCTAAGTGCCTCGTTTCCTCTTGGCTGCCCGGAGCTATCCAAGAGGAGTTCCCTTTGAGACATCCGCACGTGGGAGAAGACCCATGCCTCCAAAAATCGAAACAAGAGAGCTATGGACAAAGCCTTGGGAATTGGCGGTTCTCTGCGCTAGTTTTGGTTTCCCTCCAAAAACTATCAAGTGACAGAGGATGGGAGTCACAGAGTCACACTTCGTCCCAAAACTGCACTTGGTCAAATCTAGAAAACACCCGTGAGCTGTCACTTTGATATTTCGTACCGTACTACAAGTGTACCTTGGCTGTCATTAAAGCCGGCGCTTGAAATAGAACCATTCCCTCAAGAAAACTTTCCGGTACCCCCCCGAAAACCTGCAGGGACCTTGCCAGGCCGAAAAATGGCGAGGATGTGTCAAAGACTCGTGAAGCGGTGCCTCCTGGGCTGAGTTTCGGAAAATTCGGAATCCCCGTGCGAGATGTTGCCACCTTGCGCGGAACTTGTACGCGGCGCTCAGCAAAGCTGGCGTCGGAATTTTCATCCCGGCGAAGCGAAGTCGGTCAGTCGGTCCGGGGCACGCAGAAAGGAATGGCCGTGGGATTGTCAGGTGTTCGAGCCTCAGTCACTGTGATGCACAGCTTGAGCAACCCCTCCCCGCACTTTTTGGATGGCTTCAACGGGAAACCAAAGGGACACTCACCTTCCCCCCCCCCACCCGGTTTTGGGACAGTTGAGTCAACCATCGGTCACTTCGGAGCGCGGCACACCAGTCCACAAACTGGAGGAAAAGGCCTGCGAATCATCTCAGAGATCCGCAAGACCGCAAGATCGATCGATCCCCATGGGATGGAGACAATTCACGGCACCCAAAACTCCATGGTTTTGTAGAGGAGTCTCCAAATGGAGTGGCCTTTGTGATTCACCTAACTTTGCAGGGTGTCGGGGGGATTTTCTGCTTCGGATTTGTTGGCTTCCCTTGAAACACGTCTTCAGTGTCTTCTTGGCTTCCATTGAACATGAACCCAAGCAGGGTACCCACTCCAAAACCGGAAGACCGCCCAGTGGGTCCAACTCACCGGCCTAGTCCTGCCATCGGCAAAAGCCACTTCACGTAGAAGGCCATCCACAAGAAGTAGAAGGCAATCTGCACATACGCGGCTGTGGCTCAAAAAACCGATACCAACATTGGTTGCCCTGGTAAGTGGAAACATGGACCAACACCCGCGGTTTGCCCCACCTGTGTAATTTTGAGCCACACCCACGCCCGAAATGGCAGATCCATGCCCACTCCCACTTCCGGTCTTGAAGCTGGGGCTCTCGCCCCTGTTGCTCTGAACGGCTTCGTCATTGCTTCGCCCTTTGTGCTTTCGGGACTCTATCTTGAACCTTGCTGGGCATTGCCGGGCGTCTAAAACGTTTCGGGCAGCTCCTTCATTTTGCTCAAGGGTCCTTCTCAGCACATCTGTAAACGCCTTGTTGAACCCGCCGGTCGACATGTAGGGAGAAGGCATCACCCCGCAGAGTGGCGCGATGGGAGCGCTGGGCGCGCCTTGTCACCAAAGTAGTCGCGCAAGCGGTTGGCGTGCTCTTCGTCAGGCCAGAACCACTTCCACTGGCGAGAAGCTGGGGAGGTGGATGGTGGAACAAGGAAACCGTCTAATTTTATGTGCCCTTCATAACGATGTCTGCCAGCATGAACCGGCCCCACCAAGGTTGGGTTGCCGATTTCGCTCCAATCAAAAGCCGGATCAAAGCGCGGCGGCAGGCTCGTGTCAAAAACGGGCTTCAGAATCCATAAAGACTCGAAGGGCAATACCCTTCACAATGCAAAACCGGAACCAAGGCCCCAGTGGATCCCAGTTACCTATATATAGCAGGTAAGCAGCCATCTTTCGCCGAGTTGGGCTACTTCAGGACAACCCCCCTCCCAGTGGATCCCAGTGTAGGCAACCAGCTGCTCTGCTATTTCCCTTCGCTTTGTTATGGCTTGTTCAGGGTGGTTTTTCTTAGATTACCTATACAGATACACGGATCCTCGGTTGCTTTCTGCACCCCTGCTAAAGGTTTAACTTTTTGTGGTTTAATGGAAAACCCATGAGTTGGCAAAAAGTGTAAGTCCTAACAGCCAAGCGAAATGCAACAAAGGATCCACTGGGCCAAGGCCCTTGCCAAGATCCTGGGATCATCTCCGGCCTGGAACTCCTTGATCTTCTCTATGCCCGAGGCTTCGTGGATGGGAAAATAGGCCTGGCACCGGCCCGGCCAGGGTTCAGCCAGGCAGGCACCGAACCTCATGTGTGTCATATAGTCAAAACCCGGTACTAACATGGTCGTAATCATGCTTCAAGAAATAAGAAGGCGGAGATCCGCAGATATTTATGGCAAGGGGATCGTCCCTTACCTTCATCTACCTGGAGTCTCCTTCTGACCCTTTCAAAAAGGGGCAATGACCAACCATTATGTTGGGCAATGACCAATCATCTGAAGGAGACTCCGGGTGCCCGGGTTTTGAGCCAGCGGCTCATGTCCGCCCCCCCGGGTCGCAGCGCCTTGAGCTCGCCCTGGTGGAGAAGCCGAGGCACGTTGATGCCTGCGCCGGACTCGAGGTCGGTCTTGCGTAAGGAAACGCGGGCGGACCCCCGTCTTGGACCCCTCTTGGATTTGATTTGATTTAGGGAAGCCAAAAGGACACCATCCTTAAAGGTTCCTTTTTTCAGACCACATGACATGGACACGCCCATACTTCTGACACACTGAAGCCTTGCGAGAACTCTGGTTGCACCCTATCGGTTGTCCTCTCAAACTCCCAAATCGATGAGGAGCGTTAGGACATACACTTTCTCCCAAAGCCGCCTGCACAGTCCTTGTCTTTTGATTGGATGATGTGGTGAATCAAGTCGATCCTCAGAGATCGGTTCACATCAGAGATCGGTCCAAGAAACAAACATGGAAGCACCCTTTCCAAAGGAACCTGTACAGAATGTTTGTCGGGAGGGTATGTCGGGCAAGGGAACAATGACAGGGCCGGGGCTTGTCGACAGTTTTGAAAATGCCGCTGCCGTCCAGGTTGTCCTGAGCTCGGCCGGGCATGGTGCCTACACCAGAAGAGTGGATCAGTGGCTGGGACCCCGGTTTGAACATACTCAAACCACAATCGTTGAAAGAGTCTCCTTTCCATGTGTCAAGAGTGGCTAAGAGTTGGGCCAACCCCTGATTGAATATCATGGGTGTTTTCAAGGGGAGCCGAGGCGGCTATTTCGCAAATTCTGCCCACTGCCCGGCCTCCGTATGCGTCTGATAGATGTGCGAAATGATGCGCCGGTCGTTGAAGCGGAACTCCTGCCTTGCAAGCGGAACTACGGACCAGCGCGCCGCGGGCTCTGTGGATCAAGGTCCACCGGGCAGGCACTACATGGATGTTCCGTCAGGTGCCAACTTAGTAAGTTAATGTTGGTATTATAAGCCATTTGGCCATGCATGGGTCAAACGCCAAATCGTACCCCCAGTGAACATCCCAATCCCCAATAAAATGGACTAAAATGGGCGGGGGTCCTACCCCAAAATGGTACCATTGGTTTTGACCCACAGCCATTTAGAAAACCCCCCCTCAGTGGGGTGAACCCTGTTATTTGTGGGCAACCCGCGTTGCTACGCTCTCTTCAGCACCGGCCACACAGCCAACTTGTCAGTACTGACAGCTGCTTTGCGGACCAGAAGCAAAGGAACATACCCTTTAAATAAGAACAGGCGGTCGGCTCCTCCTGTCCTCAGTAACAATTTGCCGGTAGGTAGCGAATCCCCTGGAATCATGCGGTCTAAACCAACATGCACGAATATTCCGAGTTGCTCTTTTGGGTTTGTGTCAAAGGGGCAATCCCTGTTTCCGTGTACTTTCCCTTCAAGCCAAGGTGAAAAGAGTACCCTCAACAAACCCAGTCCTTCAGGCGAGCCACTATAGTAGGTAACCAGGGAAAATCATCATGTAAAACCCAGAGGTAGCCATTCCTGGCTACCTATCGTGGTAACTGGAAGCACTGGGAAAGACAAAGAACCATTTGGCTGTGGCTAAAAAAAAAAAACGGAATTCCAACATGGGTTGCCCTGGTAAGTGGAAACATGGACCAAAACCCGCGGTTTGCCCCTCCTGGCTTAATTTTGAGCCACACCCAAATTTACCACGGCCAGTCGCTCGGATTCATTCAGCGGGGTCGAGCGGAGGCCTTCCGGGGTAGTCGTGCCGGAACTCGGCGAAGGCGCTCAAGTACTCCTTGACAGGGCGCCGACGGCGCCGGCCCAATGGGCCAGCTCGATTTTTGTTTTTGGTGGACATACGAATTTTTCGGGATTTAGGTCGGACCATTTGCAAGGCAAATGCATCCCCGTGAAAATACATGGCCACTTGGTTGAAGGTAAAAAGTGTCTGGACAAATATTTCACCCGAGAGGGCCGGTTCGGATCTCGAGATGGATACCTAGGTCTTAGCAAAACAAACGCTCATTGCACCCAAAAACGCTCATTTGGAAAATAACAAACTCAATGGGAAAATTGCTGTGGTGTGCGTCCGCCAATTTCCACTCATGTCCTGACGATCTCCGCCCATTTTCCGAAAAATCACTGGCCAAGACGCGAGCCTACGTGGGATGCATGGGAATTTTGGGCTACGCAGAGGCAGTTCCCCCATGTGAACAGTGAAGGCTATGCGGGGCACCGCGGATCGTGCTCATAACGTCCCTTCGCTTTCCTCACTTTCCTCAGTTTCCCTTAATGTTGACCCAAGATTAATAAACCCGTCCCAATATTAGGGAGGTGTTCCCTTCAGAGTGGTCTGAATCCCCACGAAAAGGGGACACCCCCCTATTAATCAACCAGGGGTGTATTAATCCGGGGTTAACATTATGCATGTCCCTTGAAGAGGACCAAATGCTTTGGGCCCCCGGATTTGCCGCAGAGACACGGCCCTCGCTCGCAACGCAACGCGACGGAACGGGGGCTCGTCCTTCTTGAGCTGCAGCTTGTACCGCTTCCTGGACAGCAACAACGCACCAAAAGGACGAATCAAATGCGCCCCACCCCCCCTCCACCCCACCGAACCACATGAGTGCTCGAACTCCGCAAGATCAGACTACCTGGAGTCTCCATGACCCTTAAATGGGGTCATTGCCCAAAATAATGGGGTCATTGACCCATTTTTTAAGGGTCATGGAGACTCCAGGTACCAACATGTCTGCGGCACAGCTCATCTCTTCCTCTCCTGGCTGCCGTGTCTCGCAGCTTCTGAGCAGCAGCCCCAATCTTGACCTGCCACGGAATCGACACGAGCCCTGGACAAATTTATTTGTTCCTCCCTTCAACGGACATGGGACAATTCGGGCACGTCCCCCGGTTTTTGTGGTTGATACTTAGTGCCCAATGGACTGTAGACTACCGGACATTTTGACATATGGTTTCCCCAGTCCGACATCCTTCTTACGTATCCCCAAAGGACATCCCCCAGAATCAGAAGCGTTGTAAGTATAGGCTATACACGTACTGCTTTGATCCTCAACGCGATTGTCTAAGTGGTGGCTTTAGGGGAAACAACCCGGAAAGTAATTCTGAAAACCCCTTCAAATCTGTCAAAATGGTAGCGACGGTTTCTGACTAAAAAATGACCCGGGAACTAGGACCGAAAAAAGGACATGGGAAAACTGAGTCTTGACACCTGGTTTTTGTGGGCCCGGGCGAAACAAGCAATGGACCACCAGTCATTTTGTCATTTGCTGAATATGCTCAAGTTACCCGAATGGACATAGGAAAATTTGGATTTGTCCAAGTTGAACCAAATTGATCAGACACACATGAGGATAAATGAGTGCCTTGAAAAAGGGGGAACCTCAAACAGGCTTCGGCCTCCATTTGGTGTCCCGTTCAAAACCATCATTCACTGCACATGGCGGGTGAAGGCTCCATAACTGCATGTAAAGCAACTACATGGAGTCTCCATGACCCTTCCAAAATGGGGGCATTACCCAAAATAGTGGTTGGTCATTGACCCAGTTTCAAGGGTCAGAAGGAGACTCCAGGTACATGGACCACCTCTGCTTTTTCTTGGGCGCGTCCATCAAAAAAAGGGCTGGCGAATCTCTGAGACTCTGAGATCCGGGCCAGGACCTGGTCCCTATCTCGGCTGTAGAAGCAGAAGAGGTTCAGCCCGCAGTTCTCGCGAGAGAGACAAAACTTGCGGCGTGCTGATCGCCCAGGAATTCAGCCAGCCCCGGAGTCCTGCAAGCTCTTCAAGATGGACTCGCGGTGCTGCTTCCACATCTGGAAAGCCCAAGCCCCCCACAAATCGGGGCAGGTGGCGAACTGGAGGGTGGGTGGGGGTTTTTCACGGGAAATGACGGGAAAACCAAAACAAGTGTGGCTGAAACCGTGCTTTAAACCAATTGAATCGCATGGACCTGTTCGCCAAACACAAACACTCGCCACAATTTGGAGAACCGTGTTGGATTCACATGTTAGCGCTGGCCCAACCATGGTTCCTCTTTGGGGCCAACCCCCCATTGGTTTCAACGGAAAACTCAAGGGGAAACCGTTGCTATGGAGGTCCATGTCTTGATGTTGGCACAAACTCGCATGAAAGGACAAGACAGCTTGGCCTGACGATCCCCAAAGCCGGGAAGCTTGTGTGCTGCAACATATTGGACATGTCTAACGTTATCATTGATTAAGGCTGAATCCTGGAAGTAGAACCACCTACTAAAATGGCCAACCACAAAGTGGGGCAAAAACAGATTGAGCCTAGGCCATCCCAGCGGGCTACCACTTGTTTTGCATGTGCCGCCTTGCTGCAAATGCCCTTTGGGAGCAATGCAACATCATGACCATGTGTATCATTGACAAACGGAAGCCTTCGGCGTCCTTTCATGTATGATGCATGGAAAATGCGAATTCTCAAGCGTACGCTTGGCAGGTGAGGTTTGCGAATTAGCAGGGTTGCTTGTGCAAAGCCCTGGTTGGCATCAAGCGGCCATCTGCTCACGCTCTTGAGCGCGAGCAACTGTCATGAAGCTGAGTCCATGAAAGCGACACCTCTGGAAACGGGTATATCTTCTTTTAGGCAATCCCTTTTTGGTTGGTTTTAAAGGGAAACCAAAAGGAAACCAACCTATTTTGGGGGTCCCCGCAAAAAAGACGGTGCTCTAAAGGGAACTTGAAAGCCCCGCTTCTCACTTTAACGGACACAGTCAAATTCTACAGGTTCCGACACAAGAAGACCTGACAAATCAGAAGATGAGCCGCTCGACCATGATTTCACATTAGATCATCTCAGGGTTGGGCCGACCCTTGTTTAAACATAGTTTAAACCATGGGTCATTTCAACATCCTTGCGTTCTCCTATTAAATGGGGGCTTTCTTCGGGTTCTGTCTAAACAAGTTTCGCCCGACCCCGGAGCATCCAAAAAATTCATGGCTGCTTTAAGCAATGCCTCGGATTAAAGCACACGCGTCCGCCCCTCGCCGAAGCAAGCAGGCTGGAAGCTTGGAAGCAATCTTGCCCAGCAGGGCATTCAACGAAAAAGCCGGCAGCTTCTTTGTACATGATTGGAGCGCCCGAGCGCACAAAGATCATGGAACTCCCAAGTAGCCAAGCTCCGCCGCAAAATACAAATAGACCTGCGAGGGTTGCGGGAAACTTTTGAAACAACCAAGAGCTGGACCCTTTGAACGCATAACAAAAGGGGGTTGTTTAAGCCTTAATCACAGGTTACTTAAACATATTACAACGGCTAGGCCCAACCCTCAGATTCCCACCTTCACAGCTCAATGTCAAACTTCAGGTTTGTCGCAGAAGCTTGAGAGACCTTGGCCAGTCGCCTAAGACTGAACAAATGCACACCATCCGCAGCATCCAAGCTTTGGCTTTCTACTTGCCAGTGCTGAAGAACGAGCCGAGCTGAGTGTAGGAGTCTAGGAACAGTTGCGCAACCTTGCCCAGGCTTCCAGTTACCACTGTAGTAGGTAACCAGGGGAAACCGTGATGTAAAACCTAGAGGTAGCCATACCTCATTACCTACCATAGTGGTAACTGGAAGCACTGGGTTGTGCTGTTGCCGCAGGTATTGCACACCGAGCTGCTCTCATCCTGGGCGTCTCCTCATGGCACAGGCTCAAATTGGATCAAACTCAGCACTTCTCAAATCGGATTACCAATTGAATGAGTTCTAACGAATGGGTCTGTCTTGTCTTAGGGACCCCCCCAAAAAAAAAAACAACAACAACAACGTGGTGGATTTCCGGTGGTTTCCCTTCAACACAGGCCAAAAGAGGTACCCTCCAAACAAGACAGACCCAAATGGGTTCCTTTTGGATGCAACAATAATGTTCGTGCAAGCGACGCTGCACCGATTAACTGGCGCAGCTGCTAACTTGCTAACATACTATCTTGCTAACTCGCCAACTTACCAACTTACTAACTTATTCTCAGTCTCTGAACCGGATACTGACTTACTAACCGCCCTTTGCTCCAGGGTGCACCAAATACTGACTTACTAACCGCCTTCTCCTTTAATGGTCTGGAAGGATGTGTAACTGATCCTGAATTATGTCTTGATATCCTAAATTAGGCTCAATAAATGAAGATTATTGAAAGGGCAAAAGTGATTTGCGTGTTAATCACGCTTCAGATTAAATTATGGCACCTTGGTTGACCTGTCGCCGTGGTAGCTTTGGTGTTTCCGTGAGACCTTTGATGCATATGCCCGTTAAACCCGGTGATTTGAACCCGTGAATGCTGGCCGATCAAAACTCAAAACACCTACAGGTCCCATTTCGGACCAAGCCCCAAACTAATAGGACCCTCAAGGCCCTCAAGCATCATTTACTTTGATTTACTCATCCTCAGTGGGTTGCAAGCACTATATTCAATCAACTGACCCATTTAAATTTGAACATAGGGTTTCCTTATGGAGCTTTGGGCTCCACTTTGGTTCTGTGATTTTCAGACGACCTAAAACCGCTCTCTGATGCTGATTTCATGTAAGGGGTGACCCCCTATTTTGGGAAAACACCTCGGAACCCTTCTCAAGTGCCAAAGTCAAAATTCCTCATGTGGGCCAGGTCATAGGACCCCTCAGTTGTGATCCTTACCGTGGTTTCGAAAACAACGGCTCCACGGCCTTCCCAACAGCAAGCATAAGGAGATGTTGGCACGAATGAGGCTTTCTCAAAGGGTCCCCTGAGGGAAACCGAAAGGAAATAGCTGCCATTTTTGCAAATGACTATGGCCATCTGTCCCTATCTCGTCCAAGCGGCTTCCTTGTCAGCGCGCACACCTCCCATCGAGCAGCGGGATTCGAAACCCCGAAACTCGAGTTCTGACTTTGGGTTCAGAACCCACAGATTGGAACTTCAATGAAAGCAGACTTGACCATGGCACAAATCGATTTGCAATTCTCGAAACGAGACAGGTTTTGTACGAATGGCCCCAACCTACGCCTTTGGGCGGGGCGTTCAAAGGGGTAGCTACTGTATGTGTTTTCGGTTTCGTTGGGTGAAAGCACAGGTCAAGGGTCTGATAACCTCATCGATGAATGCCGGGCGAAAAACAACTGGCATGATATGTGCAGCTTGTTGATCAAGGCTGTGTGGCATGTAGCGAAGCCCTGTGATGGAAAATGCCATCCTTTTTGAGCAGTCGTTGAAACGAACCCGAAAGGAAACCTCAAAATACCCTTCAGGTCTTGATTTTGGCTTTATTGCCCCTTGCGTTGCACTCTCTCTCTATCTCTCTCTCTCTCTCTTGCTCTCTCTCTCTCTCTCTCTCTCTCTCTCTCTCTCTCTCTCTCTCTCTCTCTCTCTCTCTCTCTCTCTCTCTCTCTCTCTCTCTCTCTGGGCAACCTTCAACTCACAGCCCAACCACGAAATGAAACCGTAGTTGAAACCCCAACGTTTGGTATTTACTTTGGCCTAAGTGGATTTCGCATCTGTCGCCATGGTCATAGCCTTCCGGAACGCGAGGACCACTCTCTAACACCTAAAGAGAAGGCGTCCATGAACGTCACCAAGAGGTGTAGCGCATATCCCAGGCTGGTTTGTTTGAGGGTGTCTTTTTTGTTTTGTTTTTCTTTTGCGGGGGACGTCCAAGCAAAGAGGCATCTTGTGGGTCCCCATGTGACGAACCCGTATGGCTCTGTCTCAAAATATTACGGGAACCCCATAATTCCTGGTTTCCCTCCAAATGTTCCCAAACACACAACCTAGAAGGGAACCAACTTCAAAAAAACACAAACAAAAGCCAAAAAACAAAAACAAACATATATCGGGTCAAGCACTAGATCGCAGGAGAACTTAGGCCAGAACCATCAGAGCCCCGAACCTGCGGGGCGCACGATCGATCCTAGTGGCTTTTGAGTCTGGTAACCAAACAATCAGGTCATGTGTTTGGCTCACCGTGTGAGATTTGCCCAGGTACAAGTTGGGGAAGTCAAAATGTGGCAAGCACGGTGCTTTCAGACTACAACTATAGGTCACCATGTTCTTTTTTTGACCCAAGAACTATAGGTCACCATTCTTTGACCCACTTTGGGGCACTAATTGGGTCACATTCTTTTCACCCACTAACTAAGGGTCACCAATTGGGTCACCATTTTTTTACCCGTCGTGCCATGGTTTGAGCTGGCTAGCTACCGAAGCCTTCAACCAGCGACTGGCCACGCCTCCGGAAGCTCTGGCAATGCCTGGAGTGACGCACTCATTGGTACTAGGACAGGCTGGGGGGAAGAAACATCCGGAGGCTCCATTGTGAATGTTCCTTGAGAGCAGCTTTCAACAATAGAATGTTAACTTTGGATTGATCAACCCTAATTCAAATTGATAGTGGGTGTGCCCTTTTAGTATATTTTTCCTAAGTTTTGTGGGATTCCCATTCTGAATTTTCATGGAGGGTACCTAACATGGTTGGAGGACCTCCATGGTCCTCTGGATCCAAAGTTCCGGCATGACTCAGCGCCCACGAGTTTAACTTAGGGACCCCCAAAGATTGTGGTTTTCCTTTGGTCTCCCAAGGTGAAAAGCGCAGCCTCGAAAAAAACACCGCCACACCCATCTGGGGCGCAAACACGCGACTTGCTCGCCGAGCGCCGCATGCTAGCCGCTGGCCTTGTCATCATGCATTCGCAGCACACTTCGCAGAAACGCGCGCGAGGGAATCATAGGAGCGCCCCCTTTCTGGGCCCCCTTCTTCAGATTTGTCCTGGGCTTTGTTTCCAAATTAGATACTGAGGTCCTTGCACCAGGCGAGGCATGGGCATCATCACCCCCGCCTGCAGCTGCTGGTTTGAACGCGACGTCAGCGACGTTTTTTTTTTGGGCTATTTGTTAGGACTGGTTTCAAGCCGCTTAAGTTCTTGCGGCAGGAATAGGGTAGGCTTTGGGAAAGCTTCCATCGCCAGACTGAATTCAGCCGGAAAATTCTTGAAATTTTCCGGTCAGCTTCTCTAGGCTGAATTTGGTCAAATTTGGTCGGGTTTGCTCGAGTTTGGTGGGATTGGTTGAGTTTGGTCGAATTTGGTCGAGTTCAGTCTTGGATTTTGCTCGAGTTTGGTTGCATTTGTTCAAGTTTGGTCGAGTTTGGTTGATTTCGGTCGATTTTGGTCGAATTTGGTTGCATGCTGTGAACTTTCATCGACTTCGAGTTGATGGTCGACTTTGGTCGAGCGCATTGGTCCAAGTTTGTCGGATTGGGCAGTCCATCGCCAGACTGAATTCAGCCGGAAAATTCTTGAAATTTTCTGGTTGGCTAGGCTGATTTTGTTGTCAAATTTGGTCGGGATTGGTCCAGTTTGGTTTGGTCGAGTTTATAGTTGGATTTTGCTTGGGTTTCGTCGAATTTGTTTGGTTAAGTTTTGTTGATTTTGGTTGATTTTGGTCGAATTTGGTCGCATGTGGTCGCATGGGGTCTAGCGCTGTCATTTTTCATTCACTTCGAATTGAGTTTGGTCGACTTTGGTCGAGCGCAGTGGTGCAAGTTGGTCGGATTTGGCAGTCCATCGCCAGACTTTGGTTGAATTTGGTCGAATTTGGTCGCATGGTGTCGAGCGCTGTCTATTTTGGCTGAAATTGAGTTGAGTTTGGTCAACTTTGGTCGAACGCAGTGGTCCAAGTTGGTCGGATTGGGCGGTCCATCGCCAGACTGAATGCCCCAAACAAACCCTAATCCAAACTCAACCCAACCCTACACCAACCCTGAACCCACCCTAAACCAATCGTAAACCAACCCTAAACCAAGCCGGAACCAATCCCAAACCCTAAACCAAGCCTAAACCAAGCCGGCAATCCTAAACCAACCCTAAACCAGCCCTGAACCCACCCTAAACCAATCGTAAACCAACCCTAAACACGCACAAGACCAACCATGAACCAGCCCTAAACCAAGCCTAAACCAGCCCTAAACCAACCCTACACCAATCCGACACCGACCCCAACCCAACCCTTAGCAAAGCCTACACCAATCCGACACCGACCCCAACCCAACCCCAAACCGTCCCTAAACCAGCCCCAAACCAGCCCTAAACCAAACTCCACCCAACCCCAAACCAAGCCTAAACCAAGCCGGAACCAATCCTAAACCAAGAAACCAACCCTAAACCAGCCCCAAACAAACCCTAATCCAAACTCAACCCAACCCTAAACCAACCCTGAACCCACCCTAAACCAATCGTAAACCAACCCTAAACCAACCCAGACCAAGCCGGAACCAATCCCAAACCAACCCTAAACCAAGCCGGAAACCAATCCCAAACCAACCCTAAACCAAGCCTGAACCAATCCTAAACCAACCCTAAACCAACCCTGAACCCATGCTACGCCCTAAACCAACCCTACACCAATCCCACACGACCCCAGCCCAACCCTAAACCAATCCCAAAAACCAGCCCTAAACCAATGCTACACCGAAACCAGCCCTTAACCAACCCTACACCAATCCTACACCAATCCTACACCGACCCCCAACCGACCCTAAACCAGCCCCAAACCAACCCTAACCAAACTTCACCCAAACCTAACCTAAACCAACCCTAAACCAGCCCTGAAACCCACCCTAAACCAATCCCAAAAACCAACCCTAAACCAAAACCAGGCCGAAGCCAATGCCAACCCAACCCTAAACCAACCCTAAACCAGCCCCAAACCAACCCTGGACCCCTGAACCCACCCTAAACCAATCCTAAACCAACCCTAAACCAACCCTAAACCACGCATAAACCAATCCCAAACCAAGCCTAGACCAACCCTGCACCAGCCCTAAACCAACCCTAAACCAGCCCTAAACCAGCCCTACACCAATCCTTCACCGGCCCCAACCCAACCCTAAACCAACCCCAAACCAACCCCAAACCAATCCTAAACTCACCAGCCCATATTTGATTGCCCGGTTCACCTGTACGTGATTGCCAGGTTAGCCTCCAACAGCTGATTGCAGGGTCCAGTCTTTGATTACCGTTTTTCTCCTACGTTTCCACTCTAGCATCCCAATTCCAAGTCAAAGTAACTTTTCAAAATGGCGGACAACTTGTTCCATAAGCGGAACAAATTGACGCCAAGGCTCCAGAAAGGGCAACAACTGTTGGCCTCCTAAGCGGAACAAAGTGACGCCACTCCCAAAAAGGGCCATAGCTTCCAAACACGGTCGCATAGAAGCACCTTCTTTTCGACAGGATGCTCCACATCCGCGGTCAGGCAGTGAAACTTCCAGCAAGTAATTATACATTCAAACAGGCATGCTCATCCTGCTTGCCCGTGCCAACCGCGTCTGGGCGATCAAGCGCTTCCGGATGTTGCCATGGCATGTCGTTGCACAGGCGGCCCAGGAGGATGATACAGCCCAGTGCGAGGAGGGACACGAGTTCATCCCACATGTTATGGCGGCAATCATGACAACAGCGCACAGGACAGCGGCGAGAAGGCATTTAGTCTGCGCTCCTCCGCGTGTTCACATGGGACAAGCTTGTGATAGCTTGGAATTAGTAATTGTACAGTACTGGTAGGTGGGTCTTGCGGTTTGGAGTCTGTGGGATGGGTTTTCACGCTCGCTCCTAGAGAATTGGACATTACCCAAAACTGGGTCCAAAAATCCGTGCTGGGGAAAGAAAATGAGTTGAAAGAAACGGGCCGCTTGGCTGCCTTCTGGGCGGTGTGTTGTCAAGGAGGCTGCCTTCTTTACTCCTACTAATTGGTTAGCCGACGGCTGCACGCAAAGCAAAAGCAGCCACAATACTGCCATCCACATGTCCTTCTCCTTGTGCGGCTCACGAATCTCCACGTCCTATACCGGTGCAGACTGGCCGCCTAGCGTCAAACACTTCCGCGGCTTTGCGTGGGACTCTATTGGGACTCTGCGCCTCGCTCCAAATGCGTCTTATACACCAGCGTTGCTGAAAAGCCACAAACATCTCAGTCAACTTTGCCTAGGACCTGGGTAGTGGCATCTTGTTGGCCCTCCCTGGCAAGCAAACGCATCCTGCACGAGTGCGGAGTCAACCTCTGCAGTCTCAAACTGCTCCAGGGTCAATCACCACCATATTCTTCGAATACGGTCGATCAAACAACAAACAACTCTATGTCTCTGATCAAGCGCTGCCTGGAGCTTGTTGAGCTCTTCAACAGCCAGTGACCCCACGAGCATCTTGTCAGGCCTTGTCGTGCTGCATCTTGCTGGAGGATGTGCGTTCAAACTGACTCTCTGCCAACTGTTTCCTTGAGCCAGAGGCGGCGTCACCCCCCCACGATTCAAGGTTTCCTCTTTCCCACCCAGATTTCCTTAAATAATTATTTAAATTAAAGGGCCAACAAGGTTTGTACACAAAGCCCTACCCAAAAAGCCTGTTTCCTTTTTGCTTAGTATTCGCTTTGTCTGTGCTTAAGCCACCAGTACCAAGTTAAACTCCTCAAGGTCTCCCCAAACATGTGCTTCCTGCAAAATGCCTGTGTCTTACTAAAGTTTGTTTAAATGACAAGGTTGTCAAGCTCACAAGCAGACCCCCTTGAGGCTAGCCCCCGGTCATTAAGAGAACCTTGCCCCCCAGCGATTTATCAGGGCCCCTTTGGGCTTAAGACACAAAACGCTGTTGCCATTTAAAGTCCTATTGCCCAGAAGGGCAGAAGGAGTGAAACAGGTTCTCCAGGTTGGGCCAAAAGAAACAGGAGGAGGACCAAAGAAGCTCCATATTCATCTCGGGCGCCGTCCAAACCTTGTCAACCTTGAAGGGGACTACTCGGCCACCACAAGCCTTCAACGTGCTCAGCCCAAGGCATGCCTCCTTCGGAGATGGAGGCAACCAGCCTGCCCAGGGCAAAGGAACGGTGCGGACAGAAGTCCTGGAGCGACGGTGTTTGGCCAAACTGTTACAATACCACCTGCGACGCATCAACAAGAAGCCCGGACAAAAGATCTTACTGTATGCCTACGAGCTGTTTAAGATGCATGCGCGGGTTGCCCACAAAACCTTCGAACAAAATCGCTGCAAGAACAGCATAAATGCGCCTGTTTGGGTCATTTGGAGAGCTGCAAATGCATGCATACGCCCGGACAACCAACATCATTACAATGAAGAGTGTGTGTGTGTGAGCGTCTGCAACAAAAAAGAATCGTAAGAACAAGAGAAACAAAACGTCGCCCTGGTTGCATGCGCAAAACATCTAGCCATAGCAACGTCGGCAGCGTAAGAGAAACACACAATGGACAGCGCTTCGGACGAGAAGACCGTGAAAGGCCGGGCGAGTGCACTAAACGCTTGCTTAGGGTTTAGGCTTCTCCGGGATCTCCCGCTTTTGGACCACCCGGCGCTGAGAGCGAAGTTCCGAGCGTCCTTCGAAGTCGTGCGTCTTGAAAGAGAAGCCGCCAGTGACAAACGGCCAAAACGGCTAACACAGCGAACCGACACGGCACGGTTCTTCCCATTGCATGCCAGGAGTGCTTGGTGCCTTTCAAAGGCTCCCTCCCCTCTGCCAAATCTTGCAGAATGTTGACTCGACATGCTTGCAATGGTAATTAACTTGGTTGGGAACTGGCCCCCAAAAACTGAATCTGTGCAATCAGTGTAAATCGCGAGCAAGAGTGCATGCAAGCGCAAGTGCAGCAAGCACAGGCGGGCTTCAATCAATACATTTGGTTGATGGTTATTGGGAGAAGGGTGCTTGCAAAAATCCGAACACTGCAATTGATACAGACCTTCATTGCACTTGACCCAATGGTTGTAGTAGCCATCTTTGCAATGCCAACCAACAATACGTTTGAGCGGATAATTACTCGACACTTACATTC